GATAAACTAAGATTATAAATAAGTATATTAATTAGAGACTAAGGCCTTTTGTATCCTATTACTAAGATAACTAGAGCAACCTACTACCTATAATAGACTGTGCCTAAAGTACTCTTCTATATTTATCTATTAGCATAGCTCTATATTAGCTCCTCTTTAGTTCCTTACTAAAGCAAAGTTAGTATTAGAAACTAGAAAAGACCCTATCTACTATACTAGAGAAACTAAACTATAAGGACGCCTTATCCCTTGCTACTTAGATACACAACGCCTAGAAGATTACTAAAGAAAATATAGAAAGAGCTTAAGACTAAATACGCTCTACTACTAATTACTATTACTATCTAGTTAACTAGAAGGTTAGTAACTATATTTATCTATCTACTACTAATCTTGCTATTTTATAACCTAGCTAAAAACTATCTAAATAATAGGAAGGTCCCTTTAAGGTATTAGAACAAGTAAGAAACGCGTATTGCCTCTAATTACTACCTAGTTCTAAGATCTATAACGTTTTTTCTCCTAATATACTATATAAAGATCCCTAAGACCTACTACCTAGATAAGAGGCTCTAAAACCCCCTAGTACCCCTATATAAGGTGTAGAGGAATAGAAGGTAGAAGAAATCCTAGCTAGTAAATTATATTAATCTAAGCTAAAATATAAGGTTAAGTAGGTTAGATATAATCCTAATCCTATTTAGTATCCTACCTCTAACTTTATAGGTGCTCCCTATAAATTATAGGTATTCTACTAATAGTATCTAAATTAGCTAGGTCCCCTACGCAGCTTACTAAAATAGATTTAAGCCTAGAAAAAAGGTAAAGAGGATCTAATATTACTTTATAATAATTATACCTAATATTATAACTAATTTATATCCTATTTAGCTACGTATTATCTATTAACTACTATCTATTATTATTATTCTTATTACTATTTATTATTATATCCTATTTAGAACTATCCTAGAACCTTTAAGTTCCCTAGGACACTACCCCTAGGAAACCTCTTTATTCTATATCTATCTCTCTATTAGAACCTAGTTTAGACTCTGTATTAGCTAAGATAGCGCCTAGACTATCTTTCTTAGCTAGCTTCTAGATAACTAGTGCAGTAGGTGTAGGAGCAGGTGCAGGAGTAGGGGTAGGAGCTAGAACTAATTTAGACGCTTTCTTATTAAGCGCCTTTATCTTAGCCTATACTACAAAGGTTACCTCTTAATTTAGTGCTATTTCCTCTTTAAGTTTATTAATAGCCCTTATTAAGCCCCTAACTACTAAGACTATCTTATAAATACTATTCTAAAGCTAACGTAAATTAGATATAGTAGTATAATATATAGCTATAAGGATCTTAGCAGCTTCTATACCCTTAGTCTAAGTATTAGTAATAGTAATATACTTAGCTAGGTTTTAGGTAGTTTCTTAAATAGTAGCCTTAAACTGCTTAATATCCTTCTAATAAGTAACTACAGCTTCCTTATCCTTATCCCCTTTAGTAGGGTTTACTACTAAGCTATAGTACTTATCTAGAGCACCCCTAAGGGCAGAGTACTCTTAGCTAATAAAAGAAGGAATCTACTAGAATTAGTAAAGGAACCCTATTAGACTTAGATACTTACTAGATTGTAATACTTATTCTAGGAGATATAGTACTAGCACTTCTTAGAATTCTTTAACTTAAAATTAAAATTATTAAACCTGCCCCTAGCTAGAGCCCTAACTGCTCTTATATAGAGAGCGCGATAAGCAATAGGGAGGACTCCTAGTAGTACTAGTACTAGCATAGCTAAAGGTTCTAATTTAGATTAGCAACTATTTAATTATATAGATTAAATACTTACTAGATTTTAGATAGATTAGGTTAAATATTTAAAAAATTAGGGATATAGGAATAAGAAAGTTAGTAGGTAGAGGGCTAGTTATATACAGGCTAAGGATAGGGGTCTATGCCCTAGGAAGAAGAAGTAAAGGTAAAGGTAGAGGTAAAGGTGGATTTATTTTGCAAAAAGCTCTTCTTTTATAAGGGATCTAAACCTAATCCTAAGGATAGGGACTATCCTTTCTCTACAGGAGGGGGTAGTATAATAATAGGGTAGAATTACCTACCTATTATTCTATACTAAGTTAGGCCTAATAAAGGCCTAACTTACTAATATATATAGAGAATAGCTTGCCTATAGTTAGGATAGGTATATTCTTCTTATCCTTTTATACAAGACCTATAGGTGTAGGAATCTTATCCTTTTCTGTATAGACGCGCACTCCCATATGCCTTTGAGTCATATAGGATACCTTTTGGATGCCCTACCTACCTAAGTCGTTACAAGAAGTAATAGCGTTAAAACGCTTTTTAACTAAAATACACCTTACTTTAGATACTACCTAGATAATTAATTATAATAATTAATAAACTATTAGGTTAGTAGTAGGTAATAATAAAAGGATTACTACTAAGCTGCGCTATGTGGATATTTAAAACATATAGCTAAGATAAGAGTATATAAAGGGATCTTTCTATATTACCTACCTACCTACTAGTAATATACTAGCTAATAGGCTTACTAAAAACCTAACTATATAATAATTTATAAGGTTTAGGAAGCACCTAAAGTTATATAATAGTAAAGTATATATTATATAATATTAATTAAAGTAAGGTAGTATATAAGATCTATTAATATATAATATAAGAATAACTAACTATAGCCTACCTCTCTATTATTAACTAGGTAGCTTTCCTAAGGAGCTTTATTACGCGCGTAAAGCGTGCCTTAGAGTCTATAGGAAGCTACCTAGGTTACCCTAACCTAGGATCTATAGGGGGAACCTTAGAGGAACTAGAGTCCTTATCTTCTAATAAGGAGCTCTAGGTGCCCTTAGCTATAGTATTAGCCTTGCGTGTAAGCTTAGTAGTAGTAGTAGTAGCTTTTACTAGCTCCTACTACTTAGCCTTACTCTCCTTAAGGAGCACTAAGACCCTCTACTTCTTATTCTTAAGAAGGTCTTAGCTCTTACCTACCTACTTCCTTACTAGGAAGGATAGTATAGAATATTAGGCAAGCTTAGGGCTATTAGTTTATTAGTATAGATCTTACTAAGTATTATAAAGAAAAAATTCTTATATAGATTATATATATTAGGATATAGCTATATATAGAGAAGTACTACTAGTACTAAGTCCCCCTACTAGAAAAGTTATAGCACTTGCTATTAGACTTATTAAAGAGTATAGAGTGTAGATAATTTAGATAAGTTTTAGTATAATAAATACTAGGCTCTTTATAATAAGAGGATCTTAGGGTCTCCTTAGGAGCTAGAGAGGGAGTAGGAGCAGGAGTAGGGATATAGAGTAGAGTCTAGGAAGGAGTAGAAGCTAAAGTTAGAGCTAGAGTAGTAAAAGCTAGAGTAGGAGCGCCCTTTCTTAGCTTTATAATCTTAACTATAGTAGTAGTAGCTATATACTTAGCTACTACACGCTCTATAATAGCCTTATACTTAGTAGTAGCACGCTCTTCTTTAGTAGTAATAGCTTTAGTAACTATAGCTTTAGCTATATCAAGAGGTAATAAAGGTAGTATAGGTAGAGTAAGTATAAGTAGTAGTTTTTAACTTTAACTAAGATATAGGTTAGTAGGGATATAAGTATAGTTTAGATCTTTAGGGTTATATAATCTTATAATTTAAGCTATAGTAAAGATTATAATTAGGTAGATAGAGTTATAGAGCTTAGTCTAGATAATATCTACGCGTGTAAGTGTAGGCTAAATAAGGAAGGCGCACTAGTTAGTATCTAAAAGGTAAGCTAAATTTAACCCTTTAGATATATAACGCTCTAATTAGCTATACTACCTACTAACTATAAGTATAACTATAATAATAAAAGATCTACCTATACCTAGGGGGTGTATTATAGGAGGGATATTAACTAGATTATAGAGTATCTTAATCTAATTAACCCTAATTAATACCCCTATATAACCTACTATCTAATTAACTACTAGCTTACTACTAAGTGCCTAATAAAAAGCAGGAGCTCTAGTAAGGAAGGTTTACTAATTATTTACCTTCTAGTAAGGGTAGCTAAAGCTCTATATATATAAGTACGATCGTAGTAGATATAACCTAATAATCCATCTCCCAAATCATTCCTGACCTCAGTGATCCAAATTTCCACAAGAACATATCTATTCATCGGCCCAATGAGTACGTCCTTGACGACAACGGCTAGCCGCTGTCGAATGCACTATACACATGGCGTCGGATTAAGGTGTTTCTGACAGTATGTTGCTTCCATTGAGGTATGTCAGTGCGGTCAACCAAAATTGTTCACGAGAGTCCTTGATTGTTCTAACCATTAGCGGTCCTTTGGTCTTGAATGCGGGTTTCGCGCCAACAAAAATCACGCCACGACGGCAAATTCACAGCGGGCTGAAGCGGGCAGCTAATAACGCCCTTCCGCTTCATTTGGTGGACTACCTAAATGGAAAGATTCAAGAGTCGACAGGCCGAGGCCAGTCATGAAGTGCTATCTGCGGTAGTGACAACACCATTACTCCATAGCTTAGCATGTGCTATGTACATCCCCGAGGGAAGCGGATACGAGGCTTATCATCATCCAGAGCGGATGAATATATGTACCAAATGGCCAACCAACCATCACTTACGGAAGTGCTCCAACAGATGAGTTACGTTCGCTCTTTGCGAAGATGCCATGGTGGATCTTGAGGATGAGGACTTAATGTGTGTGAAAGGCGACGGAGGTTATGGCAATTAGCTCTGCGGCAGAACAGAAGGAAATCACCATACCATTATCCAAGTACTTCCAATATTCCAATAGATTTTAGCCTCGTAAGAAGGAACTGCCTCAAATTAATCAGCATCAGTACCCAATATGACATATGGAATAAGCCCGGCCAAAAAAATGCTCGGCTCTGAGTAAGCCCCAATGTGGCCTTTATATCTTGCATAGACGTCTTCAACGTAGACCTCAGACCTTAGTAGCCAGTTCGACCTGGTACAAGGTTGTAGCATGATCCACCCTTACTGAACATGTTCTGCAAGTCTGCAGCAATGACATCTGGTCTCTCCCAAGCCGCAAAGTGGCCGCCTTGGTCATTGTCACTCTCATATACAAGCGGCCCTAATATCATGTCAACGAAGTATCCGGATGGTATGTGGTTGAAAATTCACCTAGAGTCTTTGCCCATATCCTCGGTACCACGGTGATCTCTCTCGGAAAGTGAGCGACTCCCAACTTCACTTGGCCGATCCATTCACTCGCTCGATCTCGATTTTGTACCTTCTCGGTAGGGTTATGCCCAGCCTCGTAGTATATTCTAACATGTGCGTTTGGACCTGCAGTACTGAACCAGTAGATGCTGACCCAGGTCAGAATCTCGTCATCAGTCCACGGATATTTGTCGGTCCAGTCAATGAGCTTCTCATAGATCCAAGCCAGTAGAGCAACCGGGCTATCCGCGAATGCATATGAAAGCGTTTGCGGTCTGGTGGCTTGAAGCAAGCGATATGCTTGGCCTTCTTCGACGAACCAGTCACTGCGCTCGAGACCTTTGGATTCAGATTCGGTGTATGGCGTCACTACGTGCTGGAGAGCGAGTACCGGCTGTGTTGCAAACGTCGGCGGTTTCGCTCTGATCATGTTGATGTGGCTTGCAAATACATGAGAAGGATACAGAACGCCCATTATTCTGGTAATATAGAAGCCCCAATCGCCTCCTTGAGTTATGTATTTCTCGTATCCCAAATCCTGCATGAGTCGGTGGCATGTCTCTGCATACTGTGATAGCGCAAATCCAGGTTTTGTGATTCTCTGGCTAAAGCCGAAGTTGGGGAGTGATGGTGCCACAATCTGAAATGCAGACTTCCCGTTCCTTTCACCATCTTTGAGGAGCGGGAGCAGTTTGGTGACTTCCATAAATGATCCTGGCCATCCATGACAAAACAGGAGCGGAATCGCGGCCGGGTTCGAGTTCTTGATGTGCAGGAAATGAATGCCAACATCGCCAAAACCCTCGACTTGCACTTTCTTGCAATAGTTGGGAAGCTCGTTCAGCTTTGCCTCGGCTTTGCGCCAATCGAAACCTTTTTCCCAGTATTCGGCGAGATGTTTGACATCAGTCAGAGGTGATCCATATAGCCATTGGTTGGGAGCATCCAGCTCATCGGGATAATCTGCATCTGATAGTTTCCTCACGAGCTTGTCAAGTGCTGATTGGGGCACTGATATAGTATAGGGTTCTGGTTTGAAATGCATCTGGGCGGCAAGAACAGTCGGCTTTGGCGGATGCACGTGTATCAGACCTGAACCTTTGAGAGTACCCTTGGGAGAGTCAGGTGTTTTTGGATGTAGCTGGAAATTATCGGAAAGATGTCTGAAGTGTTGGGCATGAAGTTATACCCCACACTCGCACCTTTAAGCTACCGCCAATCAAGCCATCTTAAACGAAGCAAACACGCGCTTGTATGGGTTTGTTATAAACGTAGCTTACTACATTTGCACATGCATAACACATGTGGCCCTGTTCCTCAACCTGTAGCTTCCTGTTAGGAAGGTTACTACTTTAGGCTATGCTTTGCTTCGTAATGATTGGGACCAGCGTTGCACAGCATACAGCAAGACAATCCATAGTTGATGACAGCAGCCACGATGGATTGATATGGCCTAGTACACTGGACAAATTGCGTGGCGACAACTGCGCCAGCCGTCCTTCGTTATTCATCTAGCTTGACATCTCATCTTGTACCAGGGACTCTTCAACTGCAGATTTCTTGTCACAAGAATTCATTAAAGATTGCACAGCGTCTTTGAACCAACTCAGTCTGTCTGCATAGCATCCATATTGATATGCTTCGATTTACTCGAACCAATCGACAGACTTTCTAGCGCAAGCTTCGCCATATGTTCATCGACCATCAGCTTGATGCTTCGATATTGAATGCTCTCTGGCCCGAAGGTAGACAACGCGTTGCGGAGCGAGCTTTGTAGCTTCAATAAATCAGTCAAATCATTAGTCGAGAATGGTTAGTCGGATGACATTTTTGATTCAATGCAAATCCACGTACAGAGAGTAGAAGATCGTCCACTTGGCCAGGCATGATTGAGAAAGTTCCTGATGATATTGATTCCTGTTTGTAGATGGGTGTCGTATGACCAAAATGAGGAGCGTACTACTCGATAATAAAGGTATGTAATGCGAAAAACGCTGTGTGCAGGTAGTTGGGTGATTAGAGTAGGTGAAAGATGAACACAGACAGGTGCGGGGGAGAGGCTCCCGCATAGGCTGCAGAACCTCACGATCTTTGTCAAACGGGGTAAGGAATAGAGCTAGGCAACACTTGATAAACACAAGCATAGAATCTAGCTAGCCCTATTTTACACAAGCATGAAAAAAATTATGCATAGTAGTAAATACAGCTGGCATGACATGCTCATACAAATAAAGAAGTCATCCAAGGAAAAAAAAAGTAAACTCATGATATTGATCAGAGTGGGATTCGACTGGGGGAATAATGTTAGGACTGGATACCCAACTGATGGAGGTAGTAAGAGGGGAAAACTTACACCCACGCCCGTGAAGACTGCGGAGGATGTTTAGAACGAACCTAAACGCAGCGCCTTAGACCACTCGGCCATCTGACCGAATTGTTTAATGATTGATGGCAAATTTTGCCGTTCTGAAAAATATATACTGATTTTATCACTCGAGTGGACCTGGGTGGAAGAGGTCTAGTTTGAATGCAGAAAACTGTGGAATAGGGTATGCAAGAATTTTGCTAAGTGAGGGGTAAGCGGTTGGGACCCTTGGTTGTGCGAGGCATGAGGGGCGCATTGGGTTCCGTTATTAGCCGGATTGGGATGCGGGCTCAAAGTTTGATAGGGTCACGTTGCAAGTGCACAAATTGATCATGGCTGCATGATGACCACGAACCTACAAGCTGATTGGAAGATGTTAATGGGACAAGTACTCTATGAAGAGGTCCACAGTGAACAAGAACCAACAATTGGTTGAATCCAACCATCACTCTGCTGATCTGCTAGTAGCCTGCAACGTGTAGCTAGACTAGTGGCGATGTGAGACGTGATCAGTATGAGTCTTGCTACGCATGACTGGCCGACCATGGCACAGTCCTACCAACAGTGACACGAATGGATCCTCGTGGTCACACATGCAAGAGTCACTTGCGAGCGAGGAGTCATATCACGAGGTACAGGCATTTTTTTGAGAACCGTGTATATAGAGGGACTATCTCACGAATCTTCAGCCGCAAGCTAATAATTGTAACGATGAATATACCAAAACGAAAACCAAAATGAACAAAAGTTGGCATCACGAAGCGGAAAACGCGAACAATGTGTCGGCACACACCAGGTGGAGTCAATCAACCACAGGGGGAGACTGCACACCGGTCGTTAGATACATAATAGCATCCAAAAAAAAAAGCGAGGACGATCCATCACCCGAAGACGACAGACGCATCGCTTACAAAGAACATCAAGGAGATGAAAAAAAAAACTTTTGTCAAGAGGAATAAGCTGGCGTCCACCAGCTCCCTCAAGACCATTGAGAACCATGTTGATGAGACCGAGATAGTCAAGACCCGGTGTGTCCGAGAGCAATAGCGATGCTCTTCCACTTCTCTACATCCGCCTCGAGCTCAGAGTTGCGACGCTCAAGTTCGCTGACATGATCGAACTTCCTCTGTCGAGATTCACGAGCTGCAAGCGTATTGCGAGCTCGCTTCAAAGCGACCTTGTCGCTAGGATCAACGGTGATTGCTGGTAGTTCACCCTTGCGACGACGCGCCTTACTGATGCCATTGATGGAAGGCGAGTTGTTGACAGATGACTTTCTGCGATATGAACTGTTCAAGACCCGAGGGGAGCCGATACTGGAGGATCCAGATCGCTCCATGGACTGGCTACTGATAGTTCGATCCATTGGAAGTGAAATGGCTGCAGGAACATAAGCAGGCTCTGGAACCGTGTTGTCCACCTCGGGGAACAAGGATGGCCAAGATGTGTCATCAGAGGGCATGCAAAAGTCGCCCTCGAAGCTTGGCGAGCAGTTGAAGCTGTCAAACATGTAGGGCGTATCGTTGATATCGGGCGAGGTCAAGTTTGTGAACGCCGTAGATGGAGGGTTAGATCCAAAGGCATCGTTAAAGATGTCCTTGGGGGATACGGTGCGCGTGGAGCCGGAGGCAACGGAAGGATCGTTGACGGCTGTGAACGCGTTGATCCCGTCAAGAGAAACAGCTCCGGAGGCGCGGAAGCCAGACAACAGGCTGATGCCTGAGTCAAAGGAGTTGTTGCTGTTCAAGTCTGCAGCCATGGTGAGCTTGGGATTGGCATTGCAACAGTCATGCACCGTACCTGCCATAGTTGTGGCGTTGTTCAGTTGTGGAGTGTTGTTGCTAGAGCTGGAAAACAGGGGAACCGGGGGGCGTTGTCGTAACTGAGGCTGCTGTAATTCTGTGGTCGATGAAGGTGCAGAATTGGCGTAGAAGTGGCCGTTGTTAAACGTATGCGGAGGCGGAGGAGCGCTCGGTGCTCGCTGAGGTCGCTGGGGTACCTGAGCTGACTGGTCGAAGAGCACAAAGTCCTGAGGCGAATCGAATGCGTGTGGTCTGGTCGTAGATGGTTGCCGATAGGCTTGGGGAGCTGGTGAAGAGTGCCATGGTGTCTGATGAGAAGCCGTGGTGGACGACGTGAAGTCGAACGGGGTGGAGGACGGCGAACTTAAGTTGCGCGGGGCAAGACTTGAGTTCAGAGGTTCCAAATTGGAAGTCTCTGAAGGGGGGGTGAAGTGGAGAGAAGGGTTGTTTGTGTTGAAATCCAGGATTGCGAAAGGCGCGGAACGCTAGATGGCAGCCATATTGATGACTGTCGTGGGGAGAGTGAATGTGTGTTTGTGTGGTAAGGCGATGGATGAAAGGGAAGATTTCAGGCAGCGAGGGAAGGTGGGGGATTTAAAGGCTAGAGTGTAAGGCGGAAGCGAGAACGGCGGCAGGAAGGGCCGATCATCTTGTGACTCACAAAAGATGCAGGAGCGCTAAGCCGTGGCCCCCAGCATGTTTCGAAGTCATCCGGCCAATCCGCGAGGACAGCGAGGCCATCCGGCCATCAGCACTAGCATTGAACAGGCATAAGGAAGCGTCGCCCTTCAAGAGAGTCGACGTGCGCGAGAGTGTGCCGCGCAAAGCAGACTCTCGTCTTTATTTCTCTGCTGTACCCTCGGAGACACGGTTGTGTTGCTGGCAGCCTGCGGACAGACGGTGACGGTACGGGTACGGCGCAGTTCCTCAAAAAGACGTCGCACGTCACTTGTGTGACAGCTGCGACTTGTCCCAGACGCGCACCACGACGTGTCCGCGATGCGCCCTCTCGACTTCTTCCAGGCATCAGCTTTGTCCCTTGTAGGTACGAGTACATACTTTCCTCTAGATAGGGCGTGCAGGACCAAGCCTGGGACATCCTGGTCACCAACCGGTGGAGGTGATGTAGATACCTTGGTGCGAGAGGCTAGCTCACTTCGGCTGAGATGCCTCGTCTTCCACACTTGCAGGCGGAGAGGGCGGCGTTGCGACTGCGCCCTTTTGGCGCTTTCTTTTGTCAGCAGGTGGCATTCAGTTGGGAGGAATGCACAACTGGGCAGTAGTACTTTCAGCGTGGCCAGCAAACTCTTTTCGTGGGCGCACATTCGTGTCGCCAAGGATCGGTGAAGGACAAGTGTGGAAGTCAAGACAGCGTCCAAGACAACGTCAACGCCAACGTCAATGTCAACGTCGTCTCCGTTCCCACAGCCACAGCATCGGATCCGAAGATGACTTCTTCCCTGCCAATATGTACATCGATCTAGCAGCACTCAGCCTCCCTTCGTATGCAAAAGTGTGGAGCGCATGGTACACATGCTCGTTGGAAGCACAGAGCTAGTCTGGGCGTACTCTAGGTAGTATGGTACTTTGCTTTCCTGCTGGTCAACAGCACCACGGTTTCGAGACATACAGGTCTCCTTCGTGGCCGTGTCCAGAGCCGCACGCAAGTGGACACTGAATAGTAATCCCCTGGCATTCAGACGATGGTTGCGATGCTGTGAGCACCACCGCGGAGTGCTCCTCATCAGCAACCCTTATGTGGAATGGCTGCCCAATCCCTCTGGGGGACAATGCATAGGTACCGGTACTCTAGGAGCTCTCGTTGCAGCATTAGCTTCGCGTAAAAATGTCCCACAAGGCTGACCAGCGATCGTGTGAGCTTTGCCTCCGTCTGTGAATTCGGGCTGCGCGACGCTTAGCTGGTTGGCCGGCAACTACGACAGACCGTAGGCAATGTCGACAAAGACGGACGGCTCTCCACACTCCACACTCTCCATGAAATTGGATGCCGACATGCCACCTGAATTTCGTGATGCTGGAGTCGGAGAGGAAACCGGTGTGATTGGCTGTCAGTTGTCCAACCAGAGCATGGATGCGTGCTAGCTTCCCAGACTCTCATCCCCCACAACAAAGGCTTTCACGTCAGTGGAGCATGCCATCTTTGGCCTGATCGCCCACTTGGATGGCCACAACGCTGAGCTGATACTCAAACATCCCCCGATCAACGAGTATAGGTGTTTGCGCTGTGGTCTTACCAACTCGCTGTCCTGCCGTTCTGCTGTTCTGGGCTGGAGCGTAGTTGGCAGCCAGGCAGGCATCGATCTCGATCGCCCTTGCCAGACTTGAAGCTGAGCTACCGGTACCTACCCACCCGCTTTCACCCGCTCCCTACATGTAACCCCGAACCAAGAAGTGATATTGGCTAGCACGCATCCGAGTTCAGCGCACGCCATATTCTGAGCGGTCATCGACAGTCTCGCAACAGGGCCTAAATGTCAGCAGCAGAGAAACTGCACTCGGCCTGTGACGAATGTCGTAAGTACCCAAACTACCCTTGGCAAACCCTCTCTGCCTTCTACTCACAACTGATCGCCCACGAGGTTCACGAAAGTTGAAATGCTCCGGCGATACGCCGGTATGCGTACGATGCAAAAAAGAAGGCATAGGCTGTGTTTATTCGCCGCAGAAGCAGATGGGGCGACCCAAGAAGCGGAGGCGTGACGGTGAAGCAGATGGGCCGGCGCAACATCCTGGGAAGAACGACGCAGGACCAAATGGCAGTTTATCGGGACTTCTGGTCGATCACCCGCAACTGGACTATGGCTTAACTGCCCTGCACGAGCAGCCACAGTCGAACGGGTCGAGCCACACCACCGACAGTGGCATCGCAGTATCAATGCACGACAGCCGAAACATCACACCAAATTTCGATGACACTCCCACAAACGATTTTGGGTAAGCTCTACTCGCCAACAACCACATGCATACACTGACGCATCTACAGCTTCAACCTCGACTTCACCATCGATCCATCCCTGTGGAATCTCCCACCACCAACCCCACAGCCGCCAGAGAACAACCCCTGCACATGCCTATCGACGACCTACCTAACCCTCAGCACCCTCCAGACCCTCCCCACCTTTTCCTTCCCCCAAGTAATTCCCCCTTTACGCACCGCCATGTCTGCCCTCGCCACCCTCATTCACTGCCCAACCTGCCCGCTAGACGCCTTCACCGCAACCCAAAACGTCCAATCTATAACCTCCCTCTTCAAAGCCCTGACCGCGCGCTACGCAAAGGCTCTCCTTGACATCAACGCAGAAGCCACGCGCCTCGCCCTTACAAACACCAAAAAAAGGTTCCGCGTCGGCGACACCAATCCTGCACTTGCCCATTTGCATACGGGCACGGCGGACTGCCCGCTGGGATTCAATATCGACCTCGAGGCCCGCGAGTGGAAGAAGATTGCAAAGACCGCGTTGAAGATGGAGGTTTGGGGTGGAGGCAGTGGGGCAGTGTGTCTTGTGGGTTTGTTGGAGGAGTGCGAGGAGAGGCAGAGGGTGTGGCATGGGGATAAGGCTACTTGGGGCGAGGAGATGAGACATTTGAGGAGAGGGGGTGAGTGTGGAGAGGGCAAGGCTTGTGAGGCGTTGGGGGCAGAGCACATCAGGCGGGGGATTGAGGGCATGGATTGGGAGTGATTGGAGATTATGATACATGTTTGATTGACACTCACGTTGTGTAAAAGTAAGCTCTCTTATATCTAGGTGGGCTTTGGAAAGAGCTAGCAAGATTGCGAAAGATGATATCCATATACGGTATACCCTTACTATACTCGAACCTACCCTCCTAATACTCATAAGCACGGCCATGGACTGTAGAGTTTAGTCTCTTAGTTTCGTTCATCTGATATATTTAATACTAGGCACTGTTAATAAGGTTTCTTCCACAATTAAGTTTATACGATAAGATAATCGGGTAGACTAGTAAATCAGAATTGTATAGGTAGATGTAAGACGTCACGGTGTGGGATAGAGGTTCAATAGTAGATTAGGACAATAGGTGTCGATTGAATATCAAACGAATCGATACCGTGTGTATCGATTCTCATGGGTATTTATATTGCCCATGATCACGTAATCTATCTAGCTTGGGCCACCCTGGCCCATGTTTGGGCCTCCAGGGCCGGCGGAGCCCTGTGTCCTGACAGTAGATTAATGTAAATATAAGACTTTATGTTATTGTACACCTGACATACATCACACATAACCTTGACTAGTCCCGTCAGTTCTGCGTCACTACTTTTCAGAACCACTCTTTGCTGAAATACTTGGAAAGCAAGATGTTCGCGATGTGCAGGTGGGGTGAAGGACATATCAAGAAAGCTTTGAAACAAATCAGACAGCGCTTGGCTAAGATTGACAGAGTAAATGCGAGCCTATTACGTCAATGCCATCGCGGCAAAATATGAAGTGATGGCACAATGGCAAGGATGTCGGCTCAGCGGCGTAGACGGTCAAAATACACCTAGCGGAAAGGAGGGTTATGACACAATTTCAAGCTACTTGTGAGGAAATAATTCTCTCCGCCTCACATACATAAGGTTTATAAGGAATAATAACTTAACATCACACTTAGCGTCTCGGTAGAGCGCTTAGCTCTGATGACAAGTGCCAATCTCGTTTTCTCCCTAAATATCAGAGCGTTGGGAATTAGCATCACGATGCTCCAGTTGTGACACTTTGGCTACCATAGGTATCGTAATGCCGAATAAATAAGACCAACCTGGCATTGCCCCGTTTTGTGATGATTTTCTATACAATAGGTCTTCCGAGCATGAAGTGGTATAACAAACAGGGCATCTATGACGTATGCTTAAGAAATAGAAGCACTCGAATAGAAATAGTCTCCTACACGTGCCCATGTCCTACCGCCTCTTCAAGGAATTATATTACGCTCTGCATTGAAAACAACATAAATTCTATTCTTCCTGCCTGTCGTGTTAGCCCAAGACTTTTCTATTGATCACGCTACCGGTAGATCGTCTGAGCTAGGCGATAACTAGCTAGTGAATGGAAAATCTAGGCCGGGGCTATGTCAGCGTATGCGGACAGAACATGTATCACAGGCAAATCGCTGACTGTGAGATGCTGACTGTGCACTGACTATGAGATGCTGACTCTCCACTCTGCGGACAGTAGAGCCGTCTAGCTCATGTGTCAATGGAAAAGTGAGACCTGGGTTGGTGTTATGGACTGGCCTCAAAGGAGAATGCAATGAGTGTTGATAATAGTATTCGGTATCTTATAGAAGAGGTGAGCTCTCCGCACCTATTTACGTGTATGTAGCGTGCTCGCTTCGAGTTTGTACTGGCCCCTAGGTATATCCCTTAGTCAGGCCGTTGTCAGAACGATGCTTCGGTTCAATAAATGTCCTGCCATCATTAAATCACCGCTGGATCTGTATATGCCTTCAACCGTGTCCGCCCCTCTGTCATTCGGTCAAACCCAGGTTTGGGCTGAGCCCAAGCACTTCACAGTCGACCCAACTTTGGCGTAACTGTTCCTCGCCAGTTTGTACGGTACATACTGTATAGAATATCCTACAACAGCAAGACTAAAATCCTCTTGCTACTGAGGCCAACTAAGAAAGGCTGAACTGGGGGAACGTTAATGTTGTAGGAACACCCAGTACGATCTTTCCTTGACAGGACAGATAAACTAATAAGACCGATTACAACCCCTATTTAACCGCGATCTACATATCAGACACCGCTATGAACAGACGGTGAGCGTTAACAGATGGCACTAATTATATAGTGGTCTTTTACAAAATCCGTAAACTTTAACTCCAGTAGTCCTATCACTGGGGTGTCTTTGTACGATGTGTACACGCGCTCCGTCTATAAATGCCTCGTCCGTCCTACCTTCGCTGTCACACACTTCGTCTTCACTCCTCTTTACCTTAAGCATCTACTATCTAAATACCATTATCCCACACAATATGAGGCTAGCTGTTCTTGCTCTTCTGCCTGTGGCATTAGCCACTTCAAAGGTGTATTATACCACTGGCGAGGGCGTTAACGCGCCAAGGATCGATGAATACATCAGTCATCATTGCGCTCTGAAATCCAACATCAATGGTCAAATTTACAGTCGCTATTTCTTTTGTGTACGAATATAGCATAACTCTGTGTCGCAGGAAACGCTAACAACAACACAGGGTGCGCCTGAAGTACTGGTAGGAACAAATCAAGAAAACCCAGATCCAAAGCATCTTCAGTTTTCACGCGGAGAATGCTTTGACAAGTCAGTCAAGGGCAAGTATTGGCCATGTAAGGTACCTGGCGCAATCGTAGCCACAAGAGTACGTTTGCATCCAAAAGGCAGCCAAGTTTGATTACGATTTCATTACTAACAGCATATTAATAGGTTATTTGCGTAGGTTAACACTGTTATGTTTTATAAGAATCCTTTAGAGGCTACTAACAATGGAATAGTGTACGGGGCCAGACCCGGACAAACCAAAATAGTCTCCATCACTATCACATACCTAATCTGTCAGAAAACAGGACTCACTGGGACCGGAATAGTGGATTACATGAGCAGGAGCAGTATAAGTACCCTCAAGGATCGAAACAGAGGGTATAGATTCGTTTTACAATATACTTGACACGCACTATCCACCCTACCTAAAGACCCTCTATCCCTTGTGAAGTCTTATATAATCTTTATAAAATCCTTTACCTTACCTTATCTACTAAGCTATCTGAATCTTAATCTTAATACTAACTTACCTTTTGATTTACTCTTAGGTTAATGTTTAGTATACATATACTTATTAACAGCCGATAGTTAGACTTTTACTAAGCGCTACACTTGATATCGAGTCTTATAAACCAGGGGGGTGAATAAAAATTTAGGATATTTCCGTTCGGGATAGGTGTTATTGTGACCCTCGCCGAGTGACTCCCTTGTAACGACACAGGTAGGCAGGAACGTCCGAAAGGGGTCCGATACGACTCAAAGGCATATGGGAGTGCGCGTCTGTATAGAGATTAAACGAATTAATTCCTACACCTATAGGTCTTGTATAAAAGGACAAGAAGAACTTGTCTATCTATCTATTAACACAAGGCTCCTTTTATACCTAGAGGCAGAGGGGTCTTAGAACCAAGTTGGGGCGGTATCGGCGTTGCATGTCTTCCTTGGCTGCACTGGTCTTGAGATGGAACGAGGGTCGCACTCGTTACGCACGGCTTCTCCAACTCGAATCATTGCCACCTTTGTTTTCCTTAGTAACGCATAGTAAGGGAATCAAGCGAGCGCTCAACAACCATCTACAAACTGTGGATGTTATGGGCTACCTTCTAATGCTGTTGATAGGTTCAAGCTTTGTCCATGTACTGGTATCTACGTGAGATAGTTAGCATTTTTATGTTCACAAATACGCCGTTATAATTTGGCATCACAAATGAGTATCATAAGTACAGTAAAACTTCCTTAAGAGGCAGGTCCATCGTTGGCGACATATAATTATTCACACGAGCTATAACCGAGATGATAACTTGGCGTAATTCGGATGATTCTTAAAAGGCCTACCTTCTCACAATAGACCACCACCTCGCCGGCCTCATAATACCCATGTCATAACCCTTCCACCAGCAGAACGCCCAGCTGACGGCCCATGTTGACGAAAGGATGAGCGCCAACCCCACCAAATTCGAATTTTTCCACGACCAAGGTTCCTGCAACATCTCTCGTCAGCTACAATCGACTGCCACTGGGTGCAACTACGCTTACGCCAACTCCAGCCACCTCGCCTTTTTCCAGGTCAGTCGACTGTTTTACAGCCTTGACCGACTTGATCTCTAACGAGAAGTCACCCTGTTGACTGCCAAAGAAGCTACTCTTATATCAGCCAAAAACAAAGGGGGCCACGTCCAAGCTTTAGAAAGAGTCAACCACTCACCTTCTCATCATAATACTCCATCTCTTTACACTTTTGGTGTTCAACGGCTTTGCATCCTTCTTCTCTTTGCCACGATATGTCGCTTTGAACGCATGCCACGGCACAAACAGCCCATCCGCACCCGCCGAACTAAACACATACTCATAGCTAATAGTTGATTGCTCGCGGCCATCGGGCATGAGGGGTAAGATTTCGTCCTTGAGTGTCAAGGTGTACTTTTTACCGTCATGCTTACCCAGCTGCAGATGCAAACCGTCGAAGCCAGAGAGATCCCAAGAACGGTCATCGCCGGTGGTACGCTGGCTGGCGAAGCCGGCGCCACCGAGCGTGGTGATGTCTAGGGTGCCGTGGAAGGACGCGGTTGTGCCTTTGATGGTGAGGTAAGACTGGAGTTTGGTATGTAGTCAGAAGGAGCTGTTTAGGCGAGCCGTTAAATGGGTGGTTGGTGTACCTGGGATGAGCCGCCGCGTACACGGTCGTCACTCGATGTCCAATCCGAAGCTTTCCAGCCCCTGCATCGGCCATCAGCATGGACTGAAGTGGTATTCTCCTCCAAGGGGGATGGATATATTTACTTTCTGCCACCGAAGATCTCAAGCTCGTTCCTGCCCATGATGTTCCGATTGATGAATTGCGCAAATTGCGTTTGAAAACGATGTTTGTCGAGCGGTCATCCTTGGAGTCCCGCCGGATGAACCGATGACCTCACTCGTACCTTACCTAATTGGTCCGTGCGACGAAGCCAAAACGGTCACGCTGCCAACTCCACATGGCTCCAATGAAGCGGAGCACTTCCGTCCATCTCTAACACGCCTTGATCGATGAAAGAGCCAGGAAAATGGACTTCAGACCGCTGGATCGCATGGGCGATTCTGACGATGCCATTCTTGAAGTGCCCTATCGACCCTTTTACAATCCCTTTAAAATCTCTCCGGTTCTCGTGAAGCAGTAAGACGGCCTGGCGGATTTTTTGGAGGTCCTGACTTATAAAAGCACAGGGGGAACGAGTACGAGAGGGCTGTATTCAAAGAGAGACCTTTACTGGGTGTGCTGCTTTTCGATAATGTTTCTTCGGATGCGAGGGATCATGCAGCAAATGAGAGAAGTGCATACTGTATGAAGTCATTTTAGATTGCATGTACTGATGTAGACAGCATTTTTATCGTGGCTGAAGTTGAGCGTGTATATGGCGATTGTCGCAGTAGCCATAGTACTCTCTTTTCATCTGAAGACGAAGCCATCTGCTCTTGGTACGCTCAGACTTGACTGGACGGTTGCGACAAGGCACTCTCACTGACGTGAAGTAGAGCATCGGGTTGCACTGCCGCTGGGCTTGATATTCTGGATTCTTTCATTGGCTTGCCTTGTGTCTGGGCTCTCAAACTACATCAACACGGTGACACGTTACAGTAAACGGCGAGCATTGGTACAGTCTGGGTGGAAAACACAGGTCGTATTTACGGTCGTTTCAACCGCCATAGTGGCAGCTTGTGTTCTATTCCTGTCTATCAATGCAGACAAGGAATAGGGGTCTTTGTGCACTAAAGTGTTTTGATCAGGTTAGCTTCAACATGTCGTAAATTTTGACTCTGCCATGAAGCGTTATCTCATCCTGTTCGTGCTCACATGAGCGAGTGACACTGTAGAGCTTTAATAACCATGTGCTTCTCCACATCTCGCTATGACTTCCTCGTGTGCTCAAGGACATTGTTTATTCAGCCTCGAGGACCGCCCAGGTCTGATCGTCAACAGTGGTATAAATAAGACCGCCGGCCAGCAAATCATCACCAGCCCTGGCTACCTCTGCTGTGTCGATTCCAAGCTTGGCCGCAATCTCATGCTGGTTCAAACCCTCATTCGACTGGGGCGCCTCCCTTAAGAATTGGAACACCCGTCTCGCCACAGGCGTATATGTAGAGAGATTGTAACCACCCAAGTTGCCACTCGTAGCCTGCTGCTGTTGCCCTGCACCCGCATTATTAGTAGCAACACCAGTATTGGCGGCACCAGGAGGTCCGCGTGTGAAGTAGAGGTGCACTGCTGTGGCTTCAAGCAGGTGGTACGAGATCTCGTTCATATCCTCGATAGCGCGAATGATTTGAGCACCGACAGATTTCCGATCGTTGAAGCTCTTCAGTTTGCCCCATGCTCTGCAGTAGGCGCCCTCGACGAGCTTGGCTTTGGCAGGATTTGTGTGATCGACGGCATCCGAGTCGACCCACTGCTTGACTTCTATGCTGCCGGTACCGTCATCGAGGCGGTAGGTCGTGTTTGTCGTTTGTGTGGAGATGTTGCGGATTTGACCGACAAAAGTGACCTGTGTGAGTACGGTTAGGGCATGTGAGGTGGGTGCATGCAGGGCGCAGACATGCCTGGGAGACTATTGCACCATCAATCTTGAATTCATCTTTGCTACTGGAATCCGTCGTTGCTTCCAGAATTTGCTTGATGGTCACGGGACGAAGTGAATCCTGCGTGTGCTCTCGCCGGCCACCAGGGCTCTGCTGGCTGCCTCCCTCGCCGGGTATGAAGCCTCCGCCGCCAGCACCGCCGCCAGCACCGTACGATGTGTACGACGTTTCGTAACTGTTGTAATCTATTGTGCTTGTCAGTAGAAAAGATTCGAGGTTTGCAGCCCCCGTGTCATCATACTCATCCCGTCGCCGTTCTTTGTGGGAAAACGCGGTGCCAGGCTGAACGAGGGCAAAACGCGTCGGACGCGCCTTCCAGATCGCGGGGCACGTGTGTGCGACCGACAAACACTTGACGACCCCTGCACGCCAAGATTTCAGACCGCCCGCTCAGCGCTAGGTGGAAAATAAATCCATGAGCCAAGATTTCGCGACAGCAGGCCTCCTCTAGACCTGTCTTCATCCCCAAACGATTGAACCGGCCATAGGAGGCTGAACAGCTGAAACGTCCACACGGAACATGGCTCCTCGCGCGGGCTCACCGGCGCTGTCCGAAACCGAGTTCGACATCTTCGACGCTCTTGCTGGCGGCGACGAAGCGGCAGCACACAAGGAACCAAATACGGGTCATCTGGGCATAGATCTTGCTCTTGGGAGTGATGATGGGTCAGATGACGAGGCCTTTATCGCCGCAAAGCAGGCTGCGTCGAACCGGAAAGCATCGAATCTGGGAAAATCTATCAAAAAAGGCGGTGGGTTCCAAGCAATGGGTCTAAACGCCCTGCTGCTCAAGGCGATTGCGCAGAAAGGCTTCAAAATACCGACACCGATTCAACGCAAAGCTGTGCCACTCATGCTTCAAGGCGACGATGTGGTGGGAATGGCAAGAACCGGCTCGGGAAAGACGGCTGCTTTTGTCATCCCCATGATTCAGAAGCTCAAGGCACACTCAGCCAAAGTCGGTGCTCGAGGCATCATCATGTCGCCGTCGCGTGAACTCGCGCTGCAGACACTGAAGGTCGTCAAGGAACTGGGACGCGGGACAGACTTGCGAACCATCTTGCTTGTCGGTGGAGACAGTCTAGAAGAACGTGTGTACTCCGCCAAAGTTTTTGAGTACAGTCTCTAGATTACTAACTGCTCGGTCAGAATTCAGCTCCATGACCACGAACCCCGACATCATTATTGCGACGCCTGGCCGATTTCTCCATCTCAAAGTGGAAATGGGCCTCGACTTATCCTCGGTCAAATACATTGTTTTTGACGAAGCCGATCGGTTGTTCGAAATGGGATTTGCAGCACAATTGTCGGAAATCTTACATGCTTTACCTACGAACAGACAAACTCTCCTGTTCAGTGCGACGCTGCCAAAGTCACTTGTTGAATTTGCTAGAGCTGGTCTCCAGGAGCCGAAACTCATTCGGTTGGACGCCGAAAGTAAAATCTCTCCCGACCTCAAGAGTGCCTATTTCACCATAAAATCTGGCGATCGCGACGGAGCTCTGCTCCACCTCCTCGACAATGTTATCAAAGTACCGGTGGGAGAGACCGAAGCTGCCAAAAAGGCCAGGGTCGACAGCGAGAAAGCTACTACGAACAAGAAGCGGAAGCGGAGTGATGGATTTGTCAAGGACGCGCCAATTGCCGAGTCGACCATCATCTTCGCTGCTACCAAGCACAGGGTTGAATATCTCGCCAATTTACTCCGAGCTACCGGTTATGCCGTGTCTTACGGTATGCTATTTTGTAGTCTCATATATTAGAGTTTGCTAACAGTTTACAGTTTACGGCAACCTTGACCAGACAGCTCGCAAAGAACAGATTCAAGACTTTCGCACCGGGTTAACTCGTATCCTCGTCGTCACCGATGTTGCTGCTCGTGGTGTGGACATGCCTCACATTAATCACGTCATCAACTACGATTTCCCCTCACAACCCAAGATCTTTGTCCATCGGGTGGGGCGGACAGCAAGGGCTGGCCGGAAGGGCTGGGCCTACAGTCTGTGTAGACATGTCGATCTGCCATATCTCATTGATCTCCAACTATTCCTTGGTAAGCGATTGGTTATCGGTCGATCAATTGCCGAACCAAACTATGCTGAAGATTTCGTGGTCGGAACCTTGGCGCCATATCAACTAGAATCATCCGTCGAGATTGTCAACAAACAACTCACCGACGACGAGGATCTAGCCCTTTTGCTCAGTGTCGCGGAAAAGGGCGAGCGGCAATATCAGCGGACGCGCAATCAAGCAAGCGCGCAGAGTGTGCAGCGCGCGAAGGAGCTAGTGGCCTCCCCGAACTTCGCCGAGACGCATATGCTGTTCAGCGACGATATGCATAATGCGTTACGGGAAAAAGACAAGATGCTAGAGAGGATCCAGTCTTTCCGGCCCGCAGAGACCGTATTTGAAATCGGTAAAAGAGGGACCGGCAGCGAGACAGCCGAAATCATGCGCAAGAGAAGAGAGCAGGTGGAGAAGCAGAAGAGCAAACAAGCGATGAACAAAGCAGCAGATGAACTGCTTGGGCAAGAGGCTGAGCCTACGAGTGTATTGAAAGATGACGAAATCGAGTCAGAGGATGAGCCAGAAGCTGCGACTGGCGAGTATGACTCTGACTCGGATGATTTGGAGATATCTGTGTCGCAACCCAGGTCGAAGAAGTCCACGCAGGAGAGCTGGCGTGAGAACGACTTCTTCATGTCCTACACACCGAAAGAGAATTTCGCCGAGGAGAAGGCCTATGGGGTGAGTGGGGGAGATGCTGGTAACTCTAATTTTGTGTCTGCAGCCCGGGCGGCGGAAATGTCCCTGGTCAATGATGAGATCCAAGGTTTTGCGGATGCTGCCAAGTCAAAGATGCGCTGGGACAAGAAATCGAAAAAATACGTGAATCGAACAAACGACGAAGATGGATCCAAGGGGGCAAAGATGATTCGTGGAGAGAGTGGGATGAAGATTGCAGCCAGCTTTCGTAGCGGACGATTCGACGACTGGCGCAAAGCGAACAAGGTGAAGATGCCGCGGGTAGGCGAGATGGAGGCTCCTGGCCGGCCGTCAGGCTCGTTCAACAACGCACCCCGCTACAAGCACAAGACAGAAAAGGCACCCAAGCAAGCCGATCGGTACCGCGACGACTACCATGTGCAAAAGCAGCGCGTGGCAGAGGCAAAGGAGAAGCGGATCGGAGCGTTCCAACATGGCGGCGCCAAAAGCGAACTCCTAGATGCCAGTGCAGTACACAAACAACGCAAGGTTCAAGAGAGGAAGCGCGAGAAGAACGCTCGGCCGTCCAAGAAGCGGAAGTTTTGAGTTGATCACTTGATAGCGGGAGCGCAGATCGAGCTTTCGTAGCATTTTACACAGTCCGCAATGCTATCCGTGTGAGGGCCAGGATTCATGAATCGTGAACCATGAAAAAAGTACATGGCCATGCGTGAGATGGTTGGTGGTGGGTTGTGGCGCATGAAAGAAATCCGCCAGACACCGATCACGTTCCATCTAATTGTATATGTAGTTAGAGTAGGATGCGGCGAGTGCCTGAGGCTGGTGGGACCGATAGTGCACACACACGCACACACACACACACACAGAGAGTCAGGCCTTCTCGAAGACCACGCTCGCACCGTGCCGAGTCGGCTGTGGTGGACCGGGCTTGGTGCGACGGGACTGTCAATTGACTGCAGTCATGTACAATATGTACGGGACTTTCTGCTGTGCTGCACGAGATTCCAGGCGAGGCCCCAGAAAAGCGCAAGGGGATAGCCATCAGCCGTTTGTGGACAAGTGTGTGTGGAACCAATAGTGGCGGGCATCCATCCTGTATGTGGTTGCGACTGTTGTGTGAAGCAGGCAGATTCAGGGTGGAAAAAGAGGGTCAAGAAATGAAGAGAAAGAGGATGGACCCTCTTTCCCGGGCCAAGAACGGGCCGTTCTTGTCTGCAGCGTGGAGTCTCTGTTGGTAGAGTGGCCCCGCGTCCACCGATGACGGCAGCAGCTAGAGAGGGATGACAAGGAGCGGAGTCAGCGGAGGGTGGCTAGAGTAGGTAGGTAGGTAGGTAGGTGATGGTAGCTCGGGCACGAGGAACAGGATGGGTCTTGCTCTCCCGTCGGCGGCAACCTCCGTAGAGAGTGAGTGGGCAGTCGAGGGAAATGGACTGGTCTGCTCTTGCCATTGTGTACGTACACACCGTACCGTCCCAGTCAGCAAATGGGCTAGAAGCTGACAAACGGCGAAACGACCGTGTACATGGTACATGGAGAGACTGGCGGCGAAGCCAACCCAGAGGCAGCCTCCCGAACCAGACAGGAGGACGAGGAGGACGAGGAGGACCAGGACAGGGTGTTCGGAGCACACAGGCCCATGCAGGCACGTCATTTCCTCAAGGAGAATTCCTGCTGATGTGTGTGTGTGTGTGTGGGTGTGTGTGTGGGTGTAAGACGAGCGTGTGGGCAGATGAGAGCCAGCCGGACAATTGCCCGCTCGACTGCAGAGACCACTTGGTGTCAGATGAAGAGAAGAAAAAAAGGGTGTGTGCAGCAGCAGCAGCAGCAGCAGTAGCAGCAGCAGCAGCAGTAGCAGCAGCAGCAAGGAAGCAGTGCAGGGCCAGGGGGCTGTTGGCTACTATGTTGGCTGTTGGTGGTTGATGGCTGGCGGCTGGCGGTTGGCTGGTGCAGCGGTGCAGAAAAGAAGAGTGTGAGGATCCCTGGGGCCCCTGGCCAGCGCAAGAGGCCGAAAGAGAGCCCATGAGCTGGGGACAGTAACTGTGTGTGCTATGCATGTACTACCTACATGGATTGCTTGCCTACTTTTGCATGCACACACAAGAGCCATCCTTTTCTGCACCCGCACCACCGGCTTACTGTACCCGACCTTCTCGAAGACGCCACAATAAGTCTTGTGTGACGCGGGCGAGCTTGGGAAGACGCACATCAGAAGTCTATCCTCCATCTAGTACTACTCTACTATTTCATCTGTCCATCTGTGGACATGCAGGATGTACCTACCTGGAATATTGTACATGGTAGACAGACACACGAGCCTCGCGTCGACATGTGATGCGCCCCCCTCTTTCCCCCCTCTTCCCGGCCAGCTTGAGCTGTATGGAAGGGGGGAAGAAGTGGTTGAATGACGCACAACTACGAGCATGTGCTCTTCCTCTTTTTTTTTTCTTTTTTTTCTTCTCTTTTTCTTTTCTCTCTCTCTCTCTCTCTCTCTCTCCCCACCCCCTCCAGGAGCGGTGCTTGAGCCTTTTTCCTTCTTCTTCTTCTTCTTCTTCTTCTCCTTCTCCTTTGCGCTCCGCAGCTGGGTTGGTTAGTCACAAACCATGTACTATAGTAGTACATATCAGCAACGCATCATTACCCCCAACGGCTTTTTGATATTTCGATATACGCCCGCACGCTTCGCAAGGGCCAAAACATCCTCCCTGTAGCCCATTTCCCAAACTCTCTCGCCGATTGGCAAGGGGAATCAGCCGCGCAGAGCAAGGCAGTTGCCAGCAGTCGCCAACCCAACCCAGTCGCTATTGTGCTAGAGTCGCCAAGGGCCCCCCACCAACGGTCACGGAGTGGCTTCCTCCAGCAGCGGCGGCCTAACAGTAGAGTAGGCACGGTAGGCACATTGGTACTTGTCTAGGGCCACCCCTTCCCCTCTCTCCTCCTCGCTTCACTCTGTCACCCACTCCACCCACCCCACCCCACCCACTTGAATTCAACTAAACCGAACCGAAACCTGTCCTCGGCGTCCCCCAAGCCCAATCCATCCGTCGGACTCCCATGGCAGAGAGACCGCGGCCTACATTCCGCGCTGCCACCTCCCCACCAGCTTCCCACAGACGGAAATTTCATATTCCGTTGCGGGCCTGATGGATTGTGGCCAGCCGCCATGGGCAGAAAAGGCCCAGTGACGATGACGAAGACGACGAAAGACGACAAGGACGACGACAGATGCGAGTGGGTAAATGCATTTCCTGCAGGGTCGCTCTGCCAGCCCGCCCGCCAGCCCGCCCGCGGTCGACTGTTGAGATGCTGCAGGCAGCCTGATGGCCCTGTGAGCCGCATGTCTGTTGTGTGACAATCACATGCACACACCGGGGGCATACTGTACATAGCTACAATATACAACACTGCCTACTTCACAGGCTCATATACATAGTCTCATACGTACATGCTGGTCAAAACAGGTATTACACCTTCATCTTAAGAGCGGACAGACAGGAAGGTAGCCAAACGCTGTCCCTGGCCGACAATCGCTTATGCTCGGCCCGCACCCAGTCGCAAATCGAGAATGGGTCCCTAGAACCGCCGAGCTCCCAAAGCGCTCCAGCTTTGAGGCCAAGGCGTCCAGGGATCGTGACCACCCCCTGCTTCTCGTCTGTTTCGACGGTGGCCACAAAAACGTGTCCAAAAGGCCCAGGCACCGGTTCGTAGATCCCCGCGCTTCAGTCTGCGAGCCTGTTTGTGGAATTCGCTATCCTGGCATAGCACGACTCGAGCACACTCACAAGAGACCAGGGCGTAGTAGGGTTTCACTTTTCTCCTGGTACCTAGCTAGCAGCTTCCTGTGGAATGTGTACAACATGGCATACATGCAATCATCATACTTACATAGACTGCACACAGCCACTCCCCACGGCGGTCCATCTATCTGCAAATGCATGGGCTGTCAGCACACGGCAGCAGCGCCCGCCACGGTAGGACAGGTAATCCCAGCACCATGGACAGCCGTTGTGTGCTTGCGCCCTAGCCTCGGGGGGGAAGGGGGGCTGCGACGAAGAGATGAGACCAATCTATAGCCGATAGAAGACAAGCTATTATCGTGGCCATGTTCGGCTGCCATTTTTGGATGCCTCGAGCTGCAATGGGTAAATCCCCGCGTGTCCAGATCTGAAGAGGCCGTCGCGTTGGATTTCGGGTGGAAATTTATCTTCCGTCTTGAGACTGAACCCTCCCTCAGCCGATGCTGGATGCATGGTGGGGACGATACGACCAAAAGTGGAGTGCAAGGGTTGTCGGGATAATCATCAACACCCACCAAAGCATAGGATTCCTTCGGCAGTGAGGGGTAGCCTCCAACCTGACCTACACACACCATCTAGTTACACACCGACTGTCCTCTAGAAGGCTTCGCTGGAGGAGGCCGAAGTAAGCAGCGAGAATCACGTCAAACCGAGATGACGGCGGTCATTAACACGGGCGATATACATGGCACATTCCTCCATGTCTGTACCTACACCACCTTTCCTTGTCTGCTCTGTACGTGGATGCCTGCTAGGTCCCGTATTATACCGAACTCGACCGGACCGATGTTGGCTATCCATATCCTCGCCTCTGCCACCGCACATCATCCCAATCATTCGGCTTCTCTTCGATATAATACGCAAACTAGCAGGCATGCCGTCCAGTGTGCAAAGAGCTCCGGTATCATGCGTGGGGCTATTCTGGTCTTACCTCAATCTATTCGCATCCCTCTGCCCAAATCATGGTTTGGATCTCCCTTCATGGCTAAGGCTCGGCCGGTCTTGCCGCCATCCCGTGTTGGTTCCTTCCGGAGAGAATGGCTTCCTTCAGTGACATTTCATGGCCAATCAATCGAGGCAGCCTCTCCTCTTGCCTGCTCATGTCGCCCTCTTGGTTGCATTCTGGGCATGCGTGGGGGGGACCGTGATTCCCAAACGACCATGGTCTCTGGTCCATCGTTGCAGCCAACTTGTCAAGCCATGCCATGCGGAACAAGAAGGGAAGACGCCACACTTGGCTGCAACCGAGTGGGATGAACAAGACAGCCCACATGGCCTCAGGCAATAAGGATGGTGTGCTACCGCGGACCCAGACTTCGGCCCCTCACCAACAAAAAGTCAACCCCCCCTGTTGCTGTCCATGGTAATCTCGGAGGGTGGGTGCTCGGACAGTTTGCGGGCAGATCGACGACGGCGCCGGGTTTCGTCAGATCGATATCACCCACCGGAGTTTTTTATTCGGCCGCAGCAGTGCATCCTGCTCCACACCTATAGCAATCCGCTGTTATACCTTGGCGTACGTTTTGACGACAAAACCACACGGAATAGCAAGGCATTGCGAGCAAAAGGCTGAGGATGGAACATGGGACGTCAAACCCAACTTAGCGCAGAAGCCCCGTGGGCGGTGGGATGGCTCCTAAAGACAAGCCCATTTCCGAAAGAGCCAGGGAGATTCTATCTCTCCCCTCCGGCTTAACGTTCACGGCCACGTCGTGATCGTCTCCATGGCGCACCGTGGCCGTTCTTTGGCCTGTTATGCAGGCGGGAGCTGGGCAAGACGTATGTAGGGAATATTCCGTAGCATTACGGGAGAAGCAGTCATGGAATCCCCGCTACTGGGGGCTCTTCGCTCACCGTCACATGGCGCCAAATGACAGACACGTTTGCACGGTCGTCGTACACAGTAAGCTTTATCATCTTCAACCACTGGCGCCGGCGCCCTTGTCGCCCAGCTCGGCCTCAATGTCTTTTTTCTTCGCAATACCCCAAAGCACATACCAAGGCCGCCGCGGTCTACCTACACCATGACAGCGCTTGCTTTCGGTACGTGTCCATGCGGCTTCTTCCACGCGGTGAAGTCTGTGGTTGTTTGTCAGGAGCGAGTCGCATCTGTAGACATGATAACTCTCGGCTTATTCCACCCAGTTTGAACTCTATGGGACGATAAGCAGGAGCGAGTTGCATGTGTGGACATGGCAACTCTAACTCTAAAAAGAGAGTTTCCAACGCCGATTTGGATGGCATTGACGTCGTCACAGACCCCAGCCATGTGCGCAAGGCCACGGCCGATCTCAGTAGAGGCTTCAGGCCCAGACCTGGGTTACCTACCTGTAGGTAAGCAAGTAGGTAGGTAGGTCATGTAGGTACTGACTGTGTGTATGTCTATATGTACGCATACATGTATGTATCTAGAGCGAGACATAGAGTTCGCGCCAGGCGGCTTTCGCGTAGGCAAGCGAGGAGCTCAGCATCGTCGGCCAGATTTGCATCGACAATCTAAAAAAGAAGCTTTGCGGCAGTCCATCACTGTACATTGGCTGTATAGCCAAGAGAAAGACTCGAGCTGCGGTTGCAGTACCTATGTCGCTGGCAATGGGCAATGTGATTCGGGCAGATTGGCTTGATTTGTGTCATTTATGTGTCCTAAATAGGCCCACAACTTGATAGCAAAAGCGGTGCTCGGAAGCGCAACGCAACGCAAGGCAATGCAACGCAACTGACAGTTGACAAGCGTGGTGTTGGCCATGGTGAACCAAAGTCGCGGGCCTGGTTTGTGTCAGGTCGAGCCACACCCAGATTTCTTGTCCTGCCAGGGTTCAAAAGTGGACAATCCCCTCGCCCCCTCGTCGTCCTCGTGGCGCCTGGTGCGTCTTTGTTTGAAATTTATTCCTCGCCTGGATGAATTCACGGAGGCTATCTATTATGGGTTTTGGTCAGGATCTGCAAGCAGCTTTACGGCCGTGAATCCTGCACCCATACACACTTGCTCACTCACTCACGCACATACACACACAATCTCTCTCTCTCTCTCTCTCTCTCTCTCTTTCTCTCTTTCTCTCTCTCTCTCTCTCTTTCTCTCTTTCTCTCTTTCTCTCTTCATTCTTTCCTCTCTCCCCCTGCCTCTCTTCGATGCGATTACGGGTCCACAATGGCATGCTTTTGGCTCTATCCCCACTATCTGCTTGGGGCTGGAGATGTGCCACACCAGTGTTGTACGTGATGCTTTACCCAAGCCGTACGCGGTAAATTAGCCAAAAGCCCCGGCGCCCCTGTCCCCAAGACCGTTTGGAAAAAGGGGCACCCCCCCCCCCCATACTAGTGTCCCCCCAGCCCACTGTGCCCATGCTTCCTCTCTTGTGTGTGTGTGTGTGTGTGTGTGTGTGGCCGTGCATAGGTACAGTAGGTAGATATGTACATGCGCGGCTGCATCGACTGTCCTGGGAAGAAAAAAAGGGCCCTTGTAACAACAATCGTCTAAAGAACCATCAGCCGAACGAGGCAACCATGTATTGGGGCCCCAACACGCACCCCCTGCCCTGCTCCCGTTGCTCGGAATCCATCGTGGCCCCCCGTGCTCATGGATGTGGCCCGTCGCCAGCTCGAGTTGAGCCAGGGTGGGCCAAAAGATCTGTGAGTGTGGCATCTTCATAGCTGACTATGGTTATTACTGGGGATTCTCCGCTCACTGGGCAGACGTCTTTCCTGCTCTCTCGCTGTTTTGTGCCGCTCATTGGTCCCACCACACTTCAACACCATTACTTCGCCTCTGCCTTCACCTCACCCCATTCTCGCAGCTCTAGTCTCCAAGCCTCCTCCTACTCCTCCTGACCCCCCTTCCCCCTCTCCTCCGACCTGTTGTGCCCCTACGACAATCGCTCCCGTCGGACAGGCCATTTTCCAGCCTCAGAGTACCAATTGGGACACGATATCAAAAAAAAGGTAACTGACTGATCTTGCCCCCCTCCTTGCCCCTCCACCCTATATCTGCTTTTGGCTTGCCAATACTCTTGCTTCCGCCTTCGTTTCCCGCTTTTTGACTTCTTACAACGGGGCCTGGTGTCCTCTTGTAGTCATCAGCCCTGCATGTCTACCAATTCAATGGCCACTGCCTAGTCCTGGATTCGCTTGTTTCTCTAGCTTACTGATCTCGTAACGCAGCTTTATCCTACTTGCCTCTTCAAACTGTTACAGTTGCTTTTCCAAACTGCACAGCTGCTTTTCTTTCGCATCATTGCGCTCCAGCTGCTTACGCGGCGTAAGAGTGTTTCGTTCGTCAAAGTATGCAGAGTCTGGTATTACCTAGTCCGACCTCACTCCTTAATACGCCCTTTGGGCGGCCTGCAGGACCAGAGGACGGTTTAGCAAAGTTTCGATCAAAGTACAGTCCTGCCAGGCCTGAACAGCACAGCTATCCCTCTCCTCCCATGTCAGAGTCGCATTCTCCCGCACGTCGATCCGCTCAGACATCCGAAGCTGTGCGTCCATCCTACCCGCCCAATGTGGGCGCCACGCAGAGACAAGAGGCAGGTTTGCCTCTACTACCACCTTCCTCGTCTCTGCTTGAACCACGATCGCTAGTAGATGCCCATGGACATGCCCATCATCGATCAATGTACCCTGGCGAATCCCAGCATAGAGCTGGCCACTTGCTTCGCTATCAGCCTCCACATCCGACTGAGCATCATCCCTACGGCCATGTGGCGGTATCACATACTTCCGGCTATGGATTCACAAGTCATATGAACCCTTATGCACCAGGCGCTCATCTCGGAGGTCCAATGGTACAGCATGCTGCACTGATTCCACCACCATCCGTCAGACCCAACAAACCGGCTAGAAGAACAAAGGCCCATGTGGCATCAGCTTGCGTCAATTGTAAAAAAGCACATCTTAGCTGCGACGTCCAGCGCCCGTGCGGCCGCTGTGTGTCTTCGGGCAAGCAGGTCAGTAGAAGCACACACCCACGCCGCTGCAAGCCACGAACAGTGATGCAGCTGTAAACAGTAAGCTGACAATCCTTTTATAGGACTCTTGCAAGGATGTACAGCACAAGAAACGAGGGAGGCCGCGGTTGAGGGACGATAGGGAGTTTATTAGACCAGAGGAAGGAAGACCATCACAGAGCCAGCTGCCGGGCACTTTCGTCGCGCCCGATGAATTTGTGCATCAGCCGCACTTTGCTGCCTCGAGCGCGCATCGAACATCAGACCAAGAACTCGTTATGCGCAGTACCGGACCGAGATCAGAATTTGCCAATGCGAGATCCAATATTGCGCCTTTGTCCGAACGTGGTCACTCAGGACTCAGTGGGAGTGTTGGGGTGACGCCCTCTTCGTATTCAGCGGGACCGAATTTGGCGTACCATTGTCTACCCGTTGCCTTTCTCAATCTAGATCTCGTAATCCAAAAGTCGAATCAGGCATTTGCAGATCTCGTCTCGTTTCTGGGCGATGCGAAGGGTAAACACCTGGGCGACCTTCTCGAAGCTCGGCAGAATGAAAGCTTGCAGAGACTGCGCAATGAGTTGCGCGACGAGAGAGACGAGCGCGAACCAGCGTACATGGCACCCATTACCCCCATAGGACACGATCCGATGCATGCAGTCATGGATACTGTGGCAGACTATGATGTCGACCATGTCAGCCAGGGGTTTACCGCCCGCTCCATGTTCTTGAGCTTCCGACTGCCAGGCACAGGGCAATACCAGTCGCTTCAGGTCCAGGTTCGGCTGGCGAAGACATCGCTTTACTTTGTTACCATGGTGGTGCGCTCACCGCCGCGCCATAACGTCCCTTCTATCCTTCCGCAAAAGCTCGTCACGCCAACGCGTGCCATGCACCAAGCGTCCGGAGACCAATTCACTTCCCGACCTACATCGTCCACCAGCACGGCACCAAGCTCACCCTTCTTCAACTTCGCCTCCATCCGCACCTCCCTCCCCGCCCTCAGTCCCAGCTCGTACGGTGGCAGCCCCTCATACGCCTACTCACCCACTCCCAGCCAAGACTCGGGCTACCTCCCCACCACCCAGCCACGCAGCTCGCACCCAACGTCCACCTATCCTTCCCCTTACACATCCGGCTCACGCAAACCCCCTGCCACCTCTGAGCCAGCACAGGACCTCGCCCGCCCCGCCCGTCTCGAGGGCTTACACCTTCCCCCGATTCGCACCACGGCCACCACCTCCGCCGCCCCGCTTGGTTCCCCGCTCCACGCCGAAACAGGACTGCCTGCGCCTTTGCGCACGGAATCAGATCGTCTGCGGCATCGCGAGGTTCTCGGCGTGGCTGAACAGCGGAGGCCCGCGACGCCGGAGAGCGGGAAGCGGCGGCGGCTGAACATCCATGAGGTGCTGGACTGAGGGGTGGATGGAGAGAGAAAGAGAAAAATTCGATTTCCCAATCAAATCCCCCTTTCCCTTGTTCGTATCCCTCATTCGCCTCTCTCCCTATCCTTGCCCGCGCTCACAACGACGGCACTTTTATTTTTTGCGTGTGTATGTGTGTACGCGTGCGTGTATCTGTATTGCATAGAGTGACCCCTCGGGTTCCTCATGTTATTGCCCCCTTTGTTTTCTTGCCTCGTCTTCGTCGAGTCTTTTTTTCACATCTTACATGCTTGCGGACGAGTGGGACGCTGCGACTTTCTTTTTTTTTTTGAAAAACTTATATTGATACACATGTGGATATGGGTATGGCTGGGCGTTTGCGCGTTTTGAAGCGGAGGGCGAGGGATTGGCGAAATTTCTCCGCTTGGTGTTTTTTTTGGGGGTTTGGGGGGTTTGGGGGGTTGGGAATGGTATGTAGTATATTTGCGTATTTGCACTTGCATATATCTGGGGCGTTTGGGTTGGGTTGGTTTGGTTCAGTTCAATTCAGTTCAGTTCAATTCAGTTCAATTCAATTCAATTCAGTTCAGTTCAGTTCAATTCAGTTCAATTCAATTCAACTCCGTTCAATCATCCATCCATCCACTTCCCCATCCACCCCCCTCCTTCCAACACTCTCGCGCAACCCCCCTCCCCCCACCCCAACGCTCGGCGACTCGAGCAAAGTTACCTAGACGAATGTACAAAAACACACCTGCTTCCCCTCCACCTTCCACTTTCCTTCCAGTCCAGCCCAGCCCAGCCCCTGCGCCTGCACCAGCACCAGCACCAGCAGATTGCCGCACAAAATCTCCGACAACGACGACGCCCTCTACAGGGGCAAACTTGGACAGTGCATTGGAAATACGGATACGGATACGGAGTACGGACATGGGTGTGGGCGTGGGCATGTGTATGTACTACGTATACATCTTATCTGGCTGGTTCGCTGGCTAGCCAGCTGAATACATGGACGTACACCGACCGTGCTTTGGATAGAATGAATGTCTATAGTGGATGTGAAAGGGCCGGGGGGGTTGGGGGCTTGGAGTATGGAAGCCTGATGACGACGGAGCTATTTGCGGGAATATGTGCGTGTGTTGAGGGAATTATGTACACTGTACGTACAATCATGTTGAGGTTAGTGGTTATCGTGCACCGGCTTTTTGGGATGGGGATGGGGATGGGGTGGTGGTGGTGGCATGGATGTAGGCCTACGTAAGGCTGAATGGGGGGTGGGATTTTCCGGGGGAAATGTAGCCAATTAGCAGTTGGAGGAGGGTAGGGTATGTAGCATGTAGCATGTTACTACTCTAGGATTGGCTGGGTTACTGGGGTGGGAATGTAGATGATGTTAATTATACACGTATATTGTAACATGCATACATCCTGGCACCAATCCTCGCTTGAACTACCCTGACCTGTTTATGAAGGGAAAAAACCGCCGATAGGATTTTCCGCCGACGGCTTTTTGGCACCTTGGCGCTGTTCAGCGTCCATCGGGATCGCATGATATTTTTAGTTCCGTAGGCATGAGGTGCTGGAGAAGGTGTTTGCGCGAGGAAACAAGAACGCCTAGTTGACGTCTTTGTTTTGTAAAAGTTGATACATGACATCATGCTTGCGGCTGAGACACTGCCGGAGAGTGCTGACTTGCGAGTGCACGTGGGACATGATGGGATGAAGAGCGCATCATGGAGGTGAAGTCGATGGTGGGCGTGTATAGAGACGCAGACGGTAGAGGCCAATAAGCTGACGATGGGCATTCCGTATCACGCTCACCCCAGTGCCTTGACTTTCTTCTTTTTCTTCTTGACACCCTCGCCCTCTGGCTTCTTGCCTTGGGCAAAGTCTCTCCAGTTATTGATGCGCGCATCGCGAGTTTTCTCCCACGCATCTTCCAGCTCGCGCTTCCTCTTGCGCTCCTGGATCTCCTCATCTTCCTTCCTTTGCGCGCGTCCTTCCTCGCGCATCTGCGCTTTCATCTGCCGTTGTTTTCGCAATTCATTGTCTCTGATGACCCAGATGGTCTTCTCCCTCCACTCCTTTGCAAACTCCTCGCCCCGCGTCTCTTCGTCGTCAGCTGTCAGCTTCTTCTCGCGCATCAACAACATGCGCGCATCCGCAATGTTTTCGTCGAGTTCGGCGCGCAGCTTCTCGTCAAGAAGCACAGTCTGCGCTTTTTTAAGCCGATCAAAGGCATCTGGGGCAAGTGGGTTACTTGTCTTGTCGGGATGGATGAGGAGGGATTTGGCGCGGTAGACTTTCTTGATATCGCTTTCGGGGACACCGGGCTGGAGGCCGAGGACGGCGTATGCATCAAGAGCAAAGACGCTGCGGATTCCTGTATGCATATTAGAAAGACGCCAGTAGGTTGGATAGAGACCATAATTTACGGTCAATCTCCGCATCCTTAAGTAGAGTTAGTAATTTATCTAGTGAATAGTGAACTATAGGGACATATCGCCGTGCGTGACTTACTTTGTCCATCTCCTTGCCCACCGCCGTGAGCTCAGCATCGAAGTCATCCGCCATATTGATTATCGTGTGGTCGTATGGTAGAGTGCAATCAATGATTGGTGAGAGTTGGAGAAAGTGGTGAGGATGATGGACAGCAACACGGAGGTGAGCAAGATCCCCGCGGGCAACGGGCACGGACGCTGTTCCTGGCTCCACCTAAAAAGTTTCGAGATGCGATGCGACGCCTACTACAACCCGTACTCAACCGAATATCCCCCCCCCGCCCCCCTTCGGCTACGCATAAGAATGGCGGCACCAGGTATAACAGGTCGCACGCGGCCTACCAAGGTCAAGAAGCGTGAAAACATACAGAAAAGGAAGCGCGACGATGTCGACGTAGAGAAATTGGAGCAAGCAGTGCAGGCACTGGTATGGCAGCAGTGTCGCATGCTACATGTGTATAAACGGCTAATTTTCTCCTTCCAGGACCCCAAGAATGGCGACTATAAAGACTTCACTGATCTCCCCCTCTCCGAACCTACCAAACAGGGCCTCAAGTCGTCCCATTTCGCAGTCATGACCGACGTCCAGGCCAAAGCCATCCCACTGGCTCTTCTCGGTCGCGACATACTCGCTGCGGCCAAGACAGGAAGCGGCAAGACGCTCTCATTTCTCATACCCGTTCTCGAAAACCTCTACAGGTTGCAGCATGTTGGCCAAGATGCAGGCTTGGGCGCATTGATCCTTTCTCCTACTCGCGAGTTGGCCATCCAGATATTCGACGTCCTCCGCAAGATCGGACGGCATGGCCACATGTTCTCAGCTAGTCTGCTCATCGGCGGCAAGAGTCTAGAGGCGGAGCGGAATGCGTTGCCCAAGACCAACATTCTCGTCGCAACGCCCGGTCGACTGCTTCAGCACCTGTCACAAACGGCCATGTTCAGTGCCGACGATCTCAAAATGCTGGTCCTGGACGAGGCTGACCGCATCCTTGACATGGGTTTCCAGCGCGACGTGGACGCTATCATCGACTATCTACCAAAAGAGAGGCAAACGTTGTTGTTTTCAGCTACACAGTCGAAAAAGGTGTCGGACCTTGCACGTCTGAGTCTCCAGGATCCGGAGTATGTATCTGTTCATGCTGAAGATAAGAGTGCGACACCCAAGGGCCTCACGCAAAATTACATTATTTGTCCTCTCGAGGAGAAGATGGATACGCTCTGGAGTTTTATACAAGCAAGCAAAAAGTCCAAAATTCTCTGCTTCTTCTCAACAGCCAAGACTGTGCGATTTGTTTACGAATCCTTCCGACACATGCAGCCAGGTATACCACTGTTACACATACACGGACGGCAAAAACAAGGCGCTCGACTTGAAACTACGGCAAAGTTCTCTGCGGCGAAATATTCGTGCCTATTTGCGACGGACGTAGCTGCCCGAGGTCTTGATTTCCCAGCAGTCGATTTTGTCATTCAGGTCGATTGTCCTGATGATGTTGATACTTATATCCACCGCGTCGGCCGCACAGCTCGTTACAATCGCGAGGGTCGCGGTGTCGTATTTCTTGCACCAAGCGAAGAAGAGGGCATGCTGAAGCGTCTGGAAGCTAAAAAGGTGCCCGTGGAGATGATCAATGTTCGCCAGAAGAAGCGAACGACAATCAAGGACCAACTACAAAACATGTGTTTCCAGGATCCAGCGCTCAAATACCTAGGTCAAAAAGCCTTCATGACGCATGTCAAGTCAATCTATCTACAGAAAGATAAAGAGGTGTTCAAGCTCAAGGAATACGATCTTGAGGCATATGCAGCAAGTCTAGGGCTGCCCGGCACACCTAGGATCAAGTTCTTGCAAAACGATGATAGCAAGCAACGGAAACAGGCATCACGACAAGTTATTGAAGTTTCCGACTCTTCAGACGAAGAAGAAACAACGAAGAAGGCGAAGCCTGTGCGCACAAAGTATGATCGCATGTTCGAGAGGCAGAACCAGGATGTATTGGCCGAACATTACAAGAAGCTTGTCAGACGTGGAGACGAGGATGGTGCCGCAGCCAACGACTTTACGGGCGCAGAGACTGGGGTTAACGGTGATGTTGATGACTTCATGGCTGTCAAGCGAAGAATACCCGCGTCAGACGACGAGGAAGACTTTGGCATTGCCGAAAGCGAAGAGCAAATTGCACCTGGTGGTCGAATAGTTCACTTGGCGGGAGCTTCAAAACCTCTCGTTATCGACAGCAATCGCCGTGAGAAACTCCTCAAATCCAAGAAAAAGCTTCTGAACTTCATGGACAAAGGTAAGAAGCTTATCTATGATGATGAGGGCAACCCACATGAAGTCTATGAGCTCGAAACGGAAGAAGACTTCAAGAGGAAAGGCTTGCCAGAGGAACAACGGCAGAGATTTATCGAGGCCGCACGAGAAACCGTGCAGACGGCAGATATTGAGGACAAGGCAACTGCTAAGGCGAAGAGAAAAGAGAAGCTCAGGAAGCGCAAGGAGCGCGAGAGGAACGAAGCAACTGAGGGTGTCGACCAGGGAGCCGAGGTCGCAGATCCTGGGGAAGATCCACTGGCCAACTTTAGGGCCGATGCAGAATACAGCGATGAAGAAGAGGAACTACCGAAGAAGAAGGAGAAGAAGTGGTTCCAGTCAGATTCAGAAGATGATGAGAAGAGCGCTAAGAAGCGGAAGAAGAACAAATCGAAACACGTCGTCGAGCAGCCAGAGACATTGGAGGATATGGAGGCTCTGGCTGCCGGACTTCTGGGTTAGTCAGATGAATATGATATCAAGGGGCCCTAGAAGTGGTGTCATGTTTAGCAAGATGATGAATACGAGCTGAATGTTCCGACTTGCTCCCATACCGTTGATCTCTTCCGATTACACCGAGACCCCTACTTGCAGCCTGATCAACCATGACCTTGTACAAGTACTCAGCGATGACCCCTGAGGGACCCTGGTAAGGCTAAAAAAAAGACATTTAAGACTTTCTCAAGCTGCCATGGGATCAATAGTCTGGACCCAGACTTGGGATCAAAGGTGGTTGGTTTGAAACACTCCGTGCGGTAGCTTCGGCCGATTATGAATTTTCATGAGCCTTCGCACGAGCGCCTCGTAGGTTGCCATGATTATCCGTAGACCTAGCCAAACAACTCTAGTGCTGACTCTCGATTTTGGAAATCAGAGGCCAGGCCACGTAGGTCAGCCCAGCTAAGCCATGGTTAAACTCTCATCATTCACTCTGCCATGTATCTGCTTCTCAGGAAGCCCCACACCCTCACAGCAGATACCTACTGTCGTCTATGCATGGTGATTCTCGTGACTGCACCCAATCTCATTGACAGCCACAACGATGCGGTTCTAGATGGAGGCTAGCAAGTAATATAATAGCACTGTAATACTATGAGCTCCAGAGATGACTGCTGGCTAGCAGCCAATGTAGCATGTCGTGAAGGCCCTCGGCTACGGAAGTTGTTCCGCTCTTTTCCAAGTATCCATCGTGCCTGTTCTGGATCTCCTTTTATTGCCCGAAATTGGCTTTTTATCTACTACGACTACTGTAGATTGTACCGTCAGTCTTTCCATCATAACATGGTATCTGTCCGCTCAAATAAAACAGCATGGTTAACTAGAGTAAAGTGGATACCATCCTTTGCATCTGACGCAGTCGCTCAATTGCTCAATCGCATTACTTGGTTCATATCCATCGCAGTTTTGAACTGTATCGCAAAGTGGGGAACCCTTAAGTTTTGCGTGGCTGCTCCACTGTAGTGAGTTAGGCGGACTCGACTCGATACGCTAGGCTTGATTCTGAAGTTCAACCTCGGCTTCTTCGCTTCAATTACGCTTTCCTCTGGTAGCGTGACAACTCCAGCTGTCCAACGTCGCTCAACCAGCGACCAGGACAAGTTACGGGCAACGGCAACAGATTCCGTGACCCAACCCTCGATATTGTACATTGATATACCTACGATGCATGGGTTGGCGGATATGCCAAATGCGGATATTTGCCGATATCACAAGCCTGAAAGTTATCCCCTTGACTGACTCTTTCTCGCGGAGAGACGACCCGGCCATACACAGCACATGCCCTCCGGCAATGGTACTTTTCGTGCATCGTCCTATGAGAATAGATGGGGCATTACTAAAGATCTCATTCGTCGATCATCAAAATTGTACGACCATCAAACCCGGATTTTCCCCTACTACCCTCAGATGCGCGATCGGCAACCGACTTTGTATATTTATACAATCTTAGCAGTAGTACAAGTTGGAGAGAGTGTCTAGAGGTACCATAGTTAGTGGGGAGCCTCCGCAGACAATTATGTCTCAAAAGGGCAAAGGACGCAAGTTCTTCCAGCAATTACAACCGACATTCGCCATCGACGTCCCACAGGCATCAACCGTCAAACTCGAATTCTTGGACCACTCTGATCCCGCCAAGGATGTTGTTGTTCGGAAGAAGGCAAGAGAATGGGTCAACAAAAATAGGGCGAAATCGAAGCAAAGTGGCAGCGGCAGCAAGTCGCAAACCACATGTCACAAGGAAGCAGACGTCGAGCTTGTCATTAGAGGCACAAAAGTCAAGAAGCTGGAGTACGACAATATAGAGGATCTTATAAAGCAAGCTGAACACTTATCACCGTCCACGGGAATCAATTCCTTCGATCCTTTCAGCCTGCTACCCAGAGTTGGGCGCAAATACGACCATATAGTCCAGTTCTTCTTGACCTCATGCCCGGAAGAGGTTCCATGCTCAGACGATAAGTATTCCGATAACTCGAAACTCGTTCCTTTCTCCAGTGACAATACTGTCATAGGAAACATGGCGAAGAGCAGGGTCACCTTCGTCTTGTGGCTGTATGCAACAGCCCTTATCCGAAATGGCATGGACAGTTCTGCGGATGCAGAAGAGGTAAGGTGGTACTATCATCATGCCTTACGCGAAATACAGGAGACCTTGAAAAGAGATGAGGTCGCTGGAGAGTACTCGGAAGACATCCTCAAGGCTGTAGCTTGTATCACAGCAGCAGCAGTATGTAGTACCTGTGAATTTGGCGAGGACATCAGTCTTCCTCAAGTAAAGACAGTGTATGCTAATATCATCGACAGAGCTTTGGTGGCATGTTCAAGACTGCCGAATTACATCGCGATGCCCTAGTAAGACTTCTAAGCATGCGCGGAGGTGGGGATTTGATTGCAGCATTACAGTCTACCGCCCCCTGGACAGCAAAGGCTATACAGTGGTACGCACGACAGTTCCCAATAACGCTGTCGATATACTGATCAAGTAGGTGCGAGATCATGGTTGCTACACAGCTCGCCGAGCGTCCCAAGATACCATATTATGTGCCTGCCCAACACACCATTCCAACGCCAGAACCAGTCATGAGAGAATCCACACGCCTTACACTAAATAGCCTCGCAAATCTTCCACCACTTTCGGCAACTCTGCAAAGGATCCTTGGTCTGTTCCATCATCTCGGATTTGCATATGCGCAAAAGAATCCTGCACCGAGAATTGATCTCTACATCCTGCAACCCCTTTACGATGTGGAGTACACACTTCTACAGGTACTAGAAGAGCAGAAAGGCCGCGACCACTACTACTCAAATGTGGACGTCTTATTGACTGAAACATTTCAGCTATACTTCTGGACTGGTCCACGTGCTCTCCCACCACAGACTCGATTGTGTGATTTCCTTATATCACGTAGTATGCGCGCATTGTTACCTCTTTTGCTCGAAGCCGTTCCCGAAGTTGACCTTGAATATATTCCTGAGACTACCGCATCTGTCCTCGACCACATGGACAATTGGGTATCCCATTCATTTCACCATCCACGCACCACTAATAACGCTATCATGTGGAGCCTGGCGCTTGGTACCGTGGTGTCGATGGGTCTGAACAGGCCAGAACACTCGTGGTTCAAAGGCCATTTTCTTTACGTCTTGCAACTCTTAGGCTTGGACAGGAGCGAGCAAGATTATCTGGACTTCCTCGAGATTTTCCCAGCCACTGAGGGGTTTCCCTGGATTGACTTAAGGATTCTCTATAAACAATTTGTGCCAAGATATCAATGAAGCCGTCGCCAGGCTCTGCAATAACTTGCGAGCGGTTAGGTCAAGCACTAGTGATCGGTGATTAGATCCCATTATCAAGACTCATATACGCTCAGGTTTAGACATTGGTCTAGTCTACGAAGCATAGCCAAAGAGATGCGATTGAGATCTGGGTACATATCTCCGGAATTACTAGCATTTGCTGGGTAACCGCTACCCGCCCAGAATTTGTTGCAGAACCTTGCACCAGACGATGAGTTCACGCAGGTACCGAATCCGCCTGCAAGAAAGCAGGAGAAGGTGAATATTGGACCATATGTGTAGCTGCATATCGTGCAGTAGCGCTGGCCATGTCCATGGTACGATATGAGCAACTTCGTATGATGACACATTCCACGAACCATCAGCGCCCCGATTCTTGCATCGCCATCTGAACGGACAAGCTAGATCGATTGATACCTAGGTCCACGATACCATGGCAGGACCCCTTAGTGGAGTCATTGAATGATGGGAAGCGAATGCAGGCAGCGTATCAAAAGAACCATAGGATGCAACTAGTCACGAATACGACAAGACAGTGGACAAAATATTCATCCTTTGCAGTCTTACTAATAAGACCAACAATCTTGACCCTATAGAACTGTAAAGAAATCTCCCCGAATCGACCTCAAGATTCTGCAAGCATGTCTGCAACGAGTGAGCACATCACTTTTCGCGAGTTTCGTCCCCATACATATCCCTACGACACTCTAGACAGAGACCAGTTAGCCAGCTATCGCATAGTACATCACCTACCCGTCGATGGCACAAGCGTCCCACGGAGGGACTCATCAAGCATTGATGGAGATCCCTCTCCGCCCAGGATCTCTCAAGAAGACCTCCCCAGGTTTCCCACTCCACCACCAACCAAGCCCCCATGTAAACTCGTCCAATTCTTTGAAGACCTATCCAAACGGCTCCTCAAGACCCTTCGATCATGCAAATTATTCCACTCCTGCTTTCCCCTCAGCGAACTCAGCGATCCCGATTCCGCAACTGCACGTATGCTGCATGCGCACTGGGAGGACCGTCCAGAACCACCACCTCATTGGACCTATCAAGCAGCGGAAAGAAGGCCCGGGATTGTTTACCTGCCGAGTTCGAGATCGCGGTTTGTAGATGACACGACGGGGAGGCCGACGTGGGTGCTTGAGGCTGAGGCTACTGAACAAGGAAGATTGTGAGGTGGACCGGAGGGTAGGAGCATTGGGTTGAGCTGTGACCTGCTAACCCCTACATTATATCCGGACTCCGGAATCAGAAGATGCAACCTGGCTTCACATTAGACGATGCTTTTGCTATCCCCAGATTCGAAAGCTTTGCTGTCTAGCACACACGCTTCTCATTGCAACTGTAGCACAACATACGCAATGTACGACCGAACCGCAAGATGCATCACGGTTCGACACGGACTGAATGGGTTCTTCTATTTCCATGCATGTCTTATTCAAAGCTTTTGTACCTGTCATCTAGCTGCATCGTCGTACGACAAAACAGGAATTTTTGATCGACCCTGCTGACTTTTTATTGTATAGCTTCTGTATCAAGACAATGGAAGTGAACCAAAAAGTCCTGTTGTTACATTCAATTTGTTACTTAATTTATAAATAATCAGAAGCTATTTTCCTCAACCACAGCTTCAAAAATCTCATAACCACCATCAAATGATCCTACCTAGCGCCCGGATATACTATCGAATGCTGTTTTGCAGCCAGTTGGCAGCGAGATTTCCTCCATTCGCCGCTCGCCATGGGCATTTATTCTCTCGGCTCTCCTTCTAGCGTTGCCAAACGGCTGAACAGTTTTAACCTGGGCGTATCTAACTTGCCCTCTTGTCCATGTTCGTCTTGTAAATCAGCCAACATTAGGCCGCTAACTAGAAGCAAGACCTTCTCGCACGAAATATTACGGGATCTTCTGGCAAGCTTTCAGCAACGGTATACCGGTATTTAGCTCGGATGTTTGAGAAAAGTCTCATAGAGACCCTACATCAATCACCGCCACCTATATCGCTGGAGTTTGAGGGCTGCGGAGATCGGAGAATCCGGTGATCCGAAATGCAATGCTACATAATAGTACAACTGAACAGAGCCCGGTAGCTTGAAGTTGGCGAGTATCCCGGTGGATAGCAGCGTCACATTGTCGCCCTTGTGATAGGTACCATTGTGGGCCTCGGTGCAAGCTTGAGCGCGAGCACAACCAATCTTCCAGCCAATGAGCAAGGCTGCATCATGAATGTCCGATTACCCGAACTCTCTATTCAAGTCTGGTATCACACACATAACGCAAGATTAATCGAAGCAAAGAAAAGGGCTGACACAATATTTTTAGACAAGTATGCAGTTTTATATCAACACAGATCAGCTTCACTACCACTTTCCCCTCTGTCTACACAAAAAGCTTTTTCATTGCCAGCTAAGCGTCCATCTAGCACTGGAGAGAGAACTTGGCCTTCCTGTGGGCATCCATGGCACCCCAGGCAGTCTCGTCGGCAACCTTGCCGTTCTTACCAACGGAATCTGGCTTCCAAAGCTCGTCGAAAGCCTCAAAGTAGAAAGCGTTGAAGCCGTAGTCGACCAGAACGCAGAATCCGTGCTTGTAGAAGTGTTCGGCGTTCTCAAGTCCACCCTTGGCGTCATCATAGTCGGTACCGACAGCAGTGGGCCAACCAGTCTCACCGTTCCTGTTGCATCAAGGTTAGTTGTTGAGTCTGCTTAGCGTAGAGGACGGGGTAGAGCCTACCATAATTCAGGAACCTTATCGGCGCCACCGGCCATCTTCTCGATGTGAGTGATGGCCTGGTACATGTCGTCCAAGTAAACGTGGGTGGCGTTATCCTTGTCTGCTCCCTGCCAGAAAGCGAAAGCGTTGATCAAGATGATATCGACGACTCCAATGATAGGGTTAGCAGTTCCGTCGGCAAACCTGTCCCATGAGTCGGCAGTTCCGATCTTCATGCCTTCGGGCAGCTGAGATTTGACGATGTTGATCTTGTCCTTGAGCTCCTCACCGGTGAAATTTTGACGGTAAAGTGTCTCGGAGCCGACAGTCACAGCGTAGATGGTGTCGGAGTACTGCTGAGCAACGTCGGTGATGGCCTTGAGGTCCTTGTTGAAGGACTCCTCGACATCGGGCCAGATACCAAGAACGACCTTGATACCCTTGGCCTTGGCGGCTGGCAAGCAGTTCTTTGCCATGTTGCAGTCAGAAGCGGCATAACTACGAACAATGGTGGCGCCAGATTCGCTCTTGATAGCGTCAAAGTCATCAGCATAGTCTTGCTGGCTCTTGCACTCGCCGCTTGGAAGTTTCGTGCCGAGGGCGAATCTGTAGACAAGATCAGTATCTCATTGATTCCTCTGGTAAGGCAGAATAGGGGCATACCCCATGGTGCCCTTGGCCGCAGCGACAAGAGCAGGCGATACTGCCAAGGCAGCAGCAACGGCGGAGAATCGCATATTGATGTGGTGTCTAAATATGATTATTGGGTCCCAACAATTGCGGTCTCGAAAGTGGATCCGGCGGATGCAAGCGATGTAGGCGTCAAAGAGTGAATATACAAATTACAACGAGAGTAGGGCTACAAAAGAAGGAATGGATGTGCAGTGGGTGCACTTGACGTTGAGTCGCGGGTGTGGAGGAAGAGAAGAAAGGACGGACGGAGTTGAACCTGAACCCAGGGGCACTGCGCTAACGCCTTTTTGTCGAGACTCCCAGGCACACGCCACATGCTTCTGCCACTAAAAGCGGGTGGTGGAGCTTTGCTTATCCCAAGCTAGACAAGTTGGTATTGCGTTTATAAAAATAGCCCCGGCATTCTATGCACACGGTATCTCCTGTTTGAAACGAACAATACTGCCATGCGGACATGAGTACATGTTAGGATAGTTCGACGATCAAATTCTATCACAAGTAGAATACCCACGACTCCATCATGCATGGACCTAGGAAGTTCTTTGATAGCCTTAGGGGTTGCAGCTGCTCGTGCTTAGTCTAAGTGCATCTAAAACATGGCATTGCAATGGTCTTGGGTCTTTGAAAGAGGCATGAGAAGTCCTAGCCTCAACGCATCAGCAGCCACTTAAAGGTCTGAAGAAGATATACGACGAAGGGCAACTTCCACCTGACATCATCTCGATTATTCCTTCTCTTCTGTGCTGCTTTTACTCTCTACAGCCTGTCACTGACCATGATGAACCTCACGTAGCACAGCCAGAGATCTACTATTTCGAATTACTTTCAACTTTATTACTATAGTATTCTATGAGAGGGGTATAAAATGCTGAAAACACGCTTCCAAAGTCCGATCCAGGTGCTTTTGACATGATCAATCGTTATACAACGTCCATTATTACGCTTCAACCCCGCCTACTCGCTCCGCTTGCTGCCCTCGGCCTGCTCGCGAAGCTTTCCCTCGTGTTGACACGATCAATCTCGTATGGATTGTCGTAGTAATCATCTGCTCGCCTTTGCGATCTCCGGCTTCGGGTGGAGCGGCCTGTGCGCACCTTCTTTAGGTCGTCACCCTCAACCTCCTTTTCGGTCTTCATCTCAGCGAATCTTGGTTCATTTTCGTCGTGTTCGTGCGCTTGCACTTCGGCTTCCTCTTCTTCGGCTTGTAGTGTGGCAGCGCTGGCCTGATCGTTGTCGAATTCCTCAGCACCGTTTGCCTCTCTGGCAGCCGCTGCGTTGCGAATCTTTTGCATGAATGCAGCGGACTGAGCCGCGTATTTGCACTTTTGGCGGATGCTTTCGCCGTACTTGTAGAACAAGAATGGTAGCGGGATGCAGGCAACGGCGAGGAAGGCAGGCACCGATGAAGCCCAGTGAATACCGAGACGATCATACATTTGCGACGTGAAAAGAGGAAAGGCTGCACCGAAGAGGGACCTGATGATTCCATTTCCTGCCAAGACAGAGGCGGCGAAGATGGTATAGGAGTCGATGAGGTAGTTCATGATGGAAAGGAAGATGAGAACCATGCCGAATCCGAAGAATATGGTACCAGTTGTGCATGCAGCCCAATGAATCGAGGGCGAGTTGGTCCATGCGAACCAGAAAAGTCCAATTGGCAAGAAGATGCCGCCGACGATACACATGGGTAGACGGGCCTCGGGAGTTGTGTAGCCCTTTCCGGATGCCACAACCTTTTTCATGTACATCTTGTTGTCGTATAAGATGACGTAAAGGATAGCAAGGACGATTCCAACGGCCACGGCAATGAACGGGAGACCACTGACGCCCTCGTTCCAGCCACGACCGATGCGGTAGACAATGGGGAAGGCCCCAAAGAGCATGTACAGAATGCCATAGATGATGGCATGGTATAGCGATAAGAGCAGGACAATTGGCTCGGTGAAGAGGAGGACCCAAGGTCGCTTGAGACCGGTTGAGAAAGCCTCTCCGAGAGTCGTCTTGCCTTGATCGATGTCGACGCGGGATCGGTAGACTTTTCCAGAGAGCTTGGACAGTCTTTCTGCGCGTCGCCTCAGAAGAACCGGGGGGTATGTCTCAGGAACCAGGCAGGTGACGATGACCAACATGACCCCAGACCAGATAGCCATAAGACCGCTCACCCATCTCCATCCCTCAGTCATACCCAGAAAGCCTCCAATGATAGGGCCAAGTACAGGGCCCATGAAAGGAGCTGCTGAGAATACGCTCATGGCCAGCCCTCGCTCGTTTGCCGAGAATAAATCGGCGATGACGCCTCCGGCGTTTGTGAGTGGACTGGATCCAAAGGCAGCAGCGAAGAATCGAAGGATAAGGAGGCCGTAAATATTCGTTGCTCCAGCCGCGCCAGCATTGAAAGCCGTAAAGGCAATGTACGTTCCCAAGAAGACAATCTGACGGCCGTAGAGTTCGGAGAAGGGAGCCCAAAGAAGTGGGCCAAGAGCAAATCCCAGGACGAAAAGCGAGACACCGAGTGTGACGACGATCTGGCTAACACCAAACTCGACCATGACCTGCTGGATACCTGGAAATTATTAGATTAGATACTATATGGTAATCTCTGCATGTGCGAGCGATTATTGACATACCTCCAGAAAATGCAGATGAACAGAAAGAAACGACCAAGACGGAATTGGCGACGGCAAGAGCCATGATCCATTTTTTAGTCTTGGTGAACGTCATGGGATTCCTTGGGTCGTTGTCTATCCATTCGACGACGAAGGGATCTTCTTCTGTGCCCTCGCCATCATATTCCCAGTCGATGATTTCGTTGGTGACCGCACCCTGGTCCATGATCATCTTCCAGTGGGAAATGCCTTCTCTTCCCGACTCGACATCCCTCTCTGGCCTTTCAGACCCTTTCTCCATAGTGTTGGTCATGTATGTGTCGATCTAATATTTTTGTAGAGGAGGTGAAGATCGTCGACGGGTAGTGAATCTGGGGAGATGAGGGCAAAGCCCAAGTATTAACAAGCTAGTAATGACAAACGAGGAATTATGGTAAAACACAAGTTCAAATGGAATCATCAAGCGGCGGGGGACACGCCCCATATAAAGAGCCACATCACACCAGGCAAGCGTCAGACAGAGGTTACACACAGGTGGCAAAGCGCTCACAATCTTTGGGTATCTCCTCTTATTTCCGTTGCGATCACACTATTACTAGCAAAAAAAGCTTTTTGCTGTCGCAACCAGGCCAGAGCGTGTGATGACACTATGATCCAAGACTAAAACCTCGGCCGAGATCCCAACGCCCGCCATACCGCACTAGATGCAAAGCACGAGGCTGTGGCGTCTGCAAAAGCGAATCGGCAGACAAAGATTCTGCATGAAACCGAGATCCAATTTTCCTTTCTGTCTGGGCTTCCGTCGTGCCCGTCCTGCATTGTCCCCGGTGGCAGATCGGACTCTGTGCGTCATACCGTGTACGGTACGGTACGGTCGCTATGCCCAAAAGCGGAAGTACCGAGCTGCCGAGGCATATCTGTGAATAGATAACGTCCTTGGAAGAGTCTTCCCAATCCAAGTGAATCCACCTCCAGTCAGTCAGGCGGAGGATCGGACGCGGACTTTACGGTACTGGCATGGACAGTCTAGGTCTGCTGAAGGAGTACAAAAGACTCGCAGTAAGCACTGGTTAATCTAATAATCATTACTGAGCACCCACATAGAGGGTCACAGGGCCCCAGAAGCTGGGAAATCATGGCCATGACTGTCGAGAATGATATGGCTCAACATCATCTCCACTGAAACGTCCCAAGCTTTGGTGTTTTCTTGCAGACGGCCTATCTCTCATGCGTAAATGTCACTGTATCGGATGGGAAAGCAATACCGGTACCACTGCCGAAGTCAACATACGGTGTGAGAACTCGCACCATATACATACAGATACGCCTTTGTGGACTGTTACATCCGCCTTGGTGTTTAGTAGTGTGTTGGAGCCTACGCGTTCCTAAACCACCACGCCACCACCACGCCATATTGTTGAACTTTTGTAATCGGGCCTCCATTAGCACCTGTACTATACAGTACCTGTACTATACAGTACCTGTACTATACAGTACAGTACGTAGGCCGTAGCCGCCCTAGACAACCATGAATACAAATCCACCTCCCTATAACGCCCAAACCTAACAACCACCTTCACACCCATTACACCCATCCCAAACACTCCCCACGAGCCCCAAAACCAAAACAACATGCCAAACTCCAACCCATCCCACCTCAAACCCCCCAACCACCATCCCTAGCCGCCAAGCCCCCAACACCCCCCCAAGAAACCCAACAAGCCTTTCCAAGATTGCCATGCGCCCGCCTTCCCGCCGCACCTATAAGCCACACACACACAACACTCCCAAGTCCAAGCCCAAGTATCCAACGCCCAACGCACCCACCCACTCCCCCCCCCAAAAAAAACCCAGGCAAAACCGCGCGCCGTCAGCCGCCGCAACTCGCCCAAACCAAAGTGGGTCCTGGCCTCATGCTTACCGTACCTGTACTGTAGATATAATACATGTGATCCATATCCGCACGATTCACGCTCTAGAAACGGGGATTCGGGTGGGACCTGCGACCCCGCCCGCAGTACGGTGTCAGGCAGAATTAGCAATTTTACTGCTACAACGGCATTGCAAGGATGCGAAATCATTTTCATTGTGTTTTACCCACCTGCCTACATAGTACGGTAGCCAGGCCATGGTAATACGAATGTTGGGAGATGTTGCAATTGCAATTGCAGCCGTGGGGAAGTAGTAGGTACAGTACCGGTACGGTAGGACCTAGGTTATGGTATGTCAGCGCTTGCTGAGTGTGAACGCTATATAGGTAATTTCCTTTTTTCTTTATCCGGCGCTAGAAACGGGGGTTACAGGGGTTCGACAATTTTTTCTTCGGTTTTACGGGTTTTACATAGCTAAGAAGCAAAGCAGGCAAATGCAAGCGAAAGCAAGGGCGGTGGTTCTCATGCTGTTGCTATGGGTTTTTACTTGTGTTACTGGGGCGGATTGAGGAAAGGTTTTGTTGGTGAGAGAGATGAGTTTAGCTTATCATGGTAATTTTTAATAATCTCCAAACTTTAAAAGGTTAGGAATAATGCAATTTTCCTTTTTCCTGTGCTGGAAATTTCCATTGCATATTTGGACTTTTAAATTTCGCCATTTACAATCATTTACATGGTGCCGAGTACGCCGGTGTGTAACGCCCATGTGCCTGCTGATTCCTGACCAAGGTAACGAGAAAAGAAGTCATGACCATATCGTAACCAAGAAGAAAAAAAGCTCCTCCTCCCTCTTTTACACCTCGTTACTGGGATATGCAACCTTTTCTGTAGGCAAAAACTCCTCCTTGATCGACCTCATGTTTACAAAGCGAGCCAACAGGTTTGCGCTTCCAGCCTTGTCGTTGGTACCACTTGCGCGTGAGCCACCAAAGGGTTGTTGTCCAACCACGGCGCCTGTGCTCTTGCAATTGATGTAGAAGTTGCCGGCAGTGTTGCGGAGCTTATCCGATGCGTATTTGATCGTCTCGCGGTCTTTGGCGAAGACGGCACCAGTCAAGGCGTATTCGGAAGTCTCGTCAATTTGCTTGATAATCTTTGTGAAGGCGTCGGGTGCGGCGTCGTCGTATACATAAGCAACGAGGATGGGCCCGAAGAGCTCGCGAGACAGGAGAGGGTGGTTGGGGTTCGTAGTCTCGTAAATTGTGGGGTGGATGAAGTAGCCCTTGCTGCTGTCGTGCTTGCCGCCAACAATGAGCTTCAACTCCGAGTCGTTCTTGGCCTCATCGATGACACCGGAAAGCTTTTTGAAGGAAGCTTCGTGGATGACGGGGCCGATGAAGTTGGAAAAGTCAGATGGCTCGCCAATCTTGAGGGCTTCGACTTCCTTGACGAGAATTTCCTTGAACTCGGGCCAGACGGATTTTGGTACGTATAGACGGGAGCAAGCGCTGCACTTTTGCCCCTGATACTCAAAGGCACCCCGGACGGTCTGAATAGCTGCGTTGTGAATATCGGCATCTTTGTGGATGAGATGGAAGTTCTTGCCACCAGTCTCGCCAACGATGCGTGGGTAGCTCTGGTATTTGCCCTCCGCGACACCACCAGCAATCTTGCCGTACAAAGATCTAAAAACTGCTGTGCTTCCCGTGTAGTGGAGTGCGGCAAATTGTCTGTGAGAAAGAACTTCTTGGGTCACTTCAACGGCATCACCAGGAACCCATTGGACTACGTTCGGTGGCAGTCCAGCTTCAATGAGGATCTGGTAAAGAAGCCAGTTGGAGGTAATAGCAGCAGGAGATGGCTTCCAGACAACAACGTTACCCATGAGGGCTGGTGCAGCAGGAAGATTGCCGCCAATTGCCGTGAAGTTGAAGGGAGACACGGCGTATACGAAGCCCTCCAATGGGCGGTATTCGACGCGGTTCCACACTCCTGGAGAGTTGTGTGTTGGTTGGATTCCGTATGTTTCCTCGGCGTATTTGACATTGAATCTGGAAGATGTCAACAATACCCTCTTGCCATGTCAAATTCCAAGGTTACCTCAAGAAATCGCACAACTCGGCCGCTGCGTCAATCTCAGCTTGCCAAGCATTCTTGCCCTGGCCCACCATAGTCGCAGCCATGATCTCGTACCGGTATTTGGTGGAAACCAGATCGGCGGCCTTCAAGAATACAGCAGCGCGTTCAGCAAATGGCAACGCTTCCCATGCTGGCTTGGCTGCCAATGCCGAATCTATCGCCTTCTTTACGTCTGCCTTGCTTGCATTGGAGTACTTGGCAACAACGTCTGCGTGCGACGAGGGGTTATGTTGTGTGAGGATGGAGGAGTTGTTGATCTGTCACGGTATTAGGAAAGCCAATCTTGTCTCTGAGAATGGGTAGGCCATACGTATTCTCCGCCGACTGCGAGCGGTACCTGGACCGGGCCTTGCTTCTTCAGTCTTGCAATTGCTTCTTGCAGCCTCTGCCTATCGACCGAGCCTTTCGCGTAGTGTTGCTAATCACAGAGGTCAGTCATCTTCTCCGAAACAAGACCACTTTGATCAAGCATACATTTGGCTCATTGTTGATTGTGGGGAGCTTGAAGTTCGCAATTGAACCTGCATATCTTCTCGATGCTACCTGAGCACCTGCGTAAGCGACAGGGAGCGAGTTGAGCGTCTTGGTGGCGGAGCGCAGAGGTCGAAGGCTTTTTGAAGGGACCATGTTGGGTATTCGTGGGGTAAAATGAATGCGACTTTTGTGAATGGCTAGGAGCTTTATTATGTAGTCTGACCTCCAAACCTTGACAGTGACGAAGCTGGGGAAACAGCCGATGCAAACCGCAGTGGGGCAGAACCACTACGTGTAAGAATCACCCCGCATCGGCCCTCTCATTGCAGGAACAAGACTGGCCATCAAAACACGGCCCGATATCGCAACCTTTTTCTGTGCGGCCAGGTACGGTCAGATGAAGAGGAGAAGTTTTTTTCAAGTTTTAATTGGAGCGAAGCTCTACTGTATGGAGGATGGATGCTGGTACAGTATACCCTACATGTAGGAAGAAAATCGTAAATAGTTAGCGGCACATGGAAAGGCATGCAATTTACCACACCTGAATAAAAGTGCATGACATACCACTTTTCAAGTTCGGGAGGAGAGTGATCCAATCCGATCCATCACTGCTATCACATTTGTTGTCCACAAAACTCCATGTTGTCTTTGAATAACAGATGCTAGTTGTGATCCTAGCACAAACGCCAAATGAGTATCCCTTCTTGCTTGCATGCCATCTTGAATCTCATGTTCACATCTCCATTGCCTCTGAGGCCTCTGCTTCCTTTGGCTCATCGCCCCAAAGACCCTCGAGCTTGAACTCTGCAGCCCATTCCTTGACAATCTCCTTCTGATCTCCTACGAGGCCACCCTTGATGGCAGGGGCAGTCTTGTTCTTATCCAGAGCTGGGACTGCGGTGGCATCGTACTTTGGTGGGCTGGTCCATCCTGTGATACGACCATCTCTCCAGTCGTTGATAACGGTCTGAGCTGCGGCGTGGAGGTTCGGCACACCTCCCCTCCCAAGCCGTCCCCTCTTCCTCGCAACTTGAACCAGGAAGTCGGTGGTCCTGTCGCTGCCAACACCGTGAAGAGGAGGCAGATCATACACGTTCATGAGCTTTGTGAAAAGTTCTTCGGATGATGACAGCCTCTTCAGTAACAGATTGACAGCGGGCACAGGGTCATCAATCTCCTTTGGTGGAACAGCGTTCAAAAGGATTAGACGCGCTTTCTGCAGTATCTTGCTTTCCTTGGATCCTTCCGTGGCGTTGGGGAAGACGATACCAGGCGAATCGATCAGCTTCAACTTGTTGTCAAGTTTGACTTCACGCAAGCTGGTAGTAACACCGGCTTCAGCGCCTGTTGGGCATCCAGCAGCCTTGCCCCCCATTCTCTGGCTCAAGGCATTGATAACGGATGATTTGCCAACATTGGGGTATCCGATGATGCCAACCTTTACTGAGCGCTTCAGCTGCCGAGACTCTGCAAATGTCTTGAGTGCTTTGAAGAGTGTCTCGGAGGTTCCCTTGATAGTAAGATCCTTGTGTTCAAAAGTTTTCGCATTCGCTGCAGATTTTGAGGCGCGTAGAGGCAACGTCGGGAACGACCGGCGTAGATGAACAAGCCAGGCTCTCAAGACGGGCGGTGGCACTAGATCGATCTTGTTGAGTATGAAGATCAAGCGTTTACTTGAGTGGTCTGCCGCCATGACAGCTTGTTCCACCTCTTTTGAACGCGTTCCAGTTGGATCTCGGGCGTCTAGGACATATAACACAACATCTGCGGAGTCGACAACTTGCTTATACACCTTGTCGAATTGCTTTCTTGATGTGTCTTTGCGAACATGTGCAGCACCCTCTTGATCGGACTCTTCCCCGGAGTCGTCGTCGTCCATGGCATCTGCATCATTACTCTGATCAAACTCTGCGGCTCGTGCTTTTGCGGAAGCTAGCAGAGCAGCCATAGGGTTCGAGCTGGAGCAGTCCTAGAATGGGTCAGACGCAGCATACATAAAGATGCGCCGATCGAAACTCACCACTTGCATAGAATCCTCATCTTCGCTGTCGTCAGCGAGAAGCTCGTCACCTTCAGCGTCGAATGCCTCAAAATCCGAGTCTTCGTCATCCATAGCGCCCGCTGTTTCTGTGCCTCCCGATCTTTGTTGTCTAGCCAGCTCCTTCAGGCGCGCCTTTTCTTCCTCCTTCTTCCTCCGCTGTTCTTCAACTTCGGCTAAGATCTTGTCCTTGTATGGAAAGAGGTTGGGGATGCCGGGATCCTTCTTCGTTTTCGATCGCCATTCCGGGTTCTAATCAGCGGTAAGCCTACGATTCGGTACACGATATGTGCGCCGTACCTTCTTCGCAATCTTCTTCGCCTTGCGTTGTTTGGCCGCAGAGGCCTTCTCAATCTTATGGCGCAGCCGCACGGGCACGCGCTTTGACTTTGGCTCTATAGATGTTATCAGTACTTTGCGACGGGATTCAAAGTATTTGATACTCACTGCCAATCTTCATTGTGGTATGACGGAGTTGGGTGAATTGGTTGTCGACTTGGTGTTCGAAATTTCGAAATTCTGCCCAAGATTTTGACAGGGGTCTTTTTATCTAGGGCGGTGTGCCGCGGCAGATCAGATGGCCCGCACGGTGCGATGGCGATGGCACAAAGACGCTCAACATTGCGAGAAGCACGGTTACACTGCATGAGCGAGGACTCATGTGCTTATAGACAAATAATACATGCTGCAATTTTGACAAAAAACCTATCGTTGGTTGCTCCATAGAACTCGATTCCGACCATTACAAGTATTAGCAAAGGCTCAAGCTGTGATTGGCTGTATCATCACGGCTCCGGGACCGGGATGCCCGTTTTGGCTGGAAATATTTCTTCCCTTCTCACCGTGTTTAAAGACTTGCTCAGTTCAGCTTCACAGGGTTGCCCATCACCTCGCAACATTGAGCAAGACTTGCAAACGTTGGAAGAAGGCATCTTTCCCTATCGATATTGCACGTCATGATACATCACGCGCCCTTGTTCCGCGCGCCTGCGCAGACCATCAAATACAATGGCTTGCTATTCGATATGGAGTAAGCGCTGTGCGGGCAACATGAACCTCTCAAGACTGACAATCATAGCGGCAGTACAGCTCCCCAATGCTGAAACTCAAAAGGACTGTGGGCTGACATCATGGCCCTTTTTCCAGCCATTATTGATTCCACTGAGGCAGTCGTAAAGCATTGGCACAAGTGAGTAGTAGCAAAGGATATCGGAATTCCCAAGTGTACCAAGATTAAGTTTGATATGCCAGGATAGGAAGAGAGATCGGCGTTGACCCCAACGTGATCCTCGAGACCTCGCACGGCCGAAGATCCATCGACGTACTCCAGATCTACGAACCCAAACTTGCAAACTGGGAATGTAAATGCTTCCCAGATCATGTGTAGAATGCCTCGTCCCTAACATTTTGCAGACATTTCGCACGCAGAAGGATTGATTCCAAAGGAATTTGGCCAGGACGCAATCGAGATACCAGGGTCCCGCGCGATCCTGGACAAGCTCGAGCAAGAGGCTGTTCCATGGGCGATCGTCACTTCAGGCACGCGACCTCTGGTAAACGGCTGGCTCAACGTCATGCAGCTAGCACACCCGAAGAATCTCGTCACCGCAGAAGACGTGCCAAACGGTAAACCGGACCCGACCTGCTATCAACTGGGCAAGGCGAAATTAGCTCTGGATCAGCAGGATCCTTCAATTGTAGTCTTTGAAGACGCGCCTGCTGGTGTCCGATCGGGAAAGGCTGCAGGGTTTACGGTAGTTGCGCTTTGGACGACGCACAAGATCGAGCAGCTACAAGAGGCTGGCGCTGATTTTATTGTCAAAGACATGGAGAGCGTTACGCTCAAGTCGTGGAACCAATCAACAGGCGAAGGCGAACTTGAGATTGTGAACGCGTACGAGGGATAGAGGGCTGTAGTGTACATGTACATTGTACATACTGCAGACCTCTAGCTCGCTCTTGGTAATATAGACCATCTATTTGTACAAGCATTTGCAGAGTCCCGGGTCTCGCTTATGATAATGCGGCCTATATATCCATCACAAGCATCTTGAAAATCCCGCGTCTCGCTTTCTGCCTCCCCCACGGCGCAGATAGGTACGAGATCTTTCTGGACAGTGGTGCATGATGCGTGAATCCTTCCACGCCAGTCAGACGAACTTGGTTGGATAGAGTGCTTTGATGGCGGGAAACTTGGACATTTCTTCTTGACCTTGGACAGGAAACCTACACGGTGCAGTGTGTGAGTCTATCCAGGTACGGAGTACTATGTACATCATAGCTTGACCGAAAAGCCGTCCTCCTGCTGCACAGCCCCACGGCACGGTGTAATTCGAGATTTCATGTGCCGTTCTTGCAGCCTTACTCATGTCCTCCCAGTTTAGGAACCGGTACCTACCCTGGAAGCGCACGGTGTATCGCGTTGCAGCCATAATCGGACCAAGAGACAAAGCTACGGCGCAATTGTCTTGTAGGAGAACCATGCGTGTAGCAATTAAAGAGTGCGTACGTCAGTACGGGGAGGCCGTCGGACGCTTACTGCTTGCAGGAAGCGGGTGCTGTGGTGCGACACCAAAAACGAATCATAGGTTTATGCATCCATGGGATTTGTAGCATTGATTCACTGAATCGCAGGTTCGGCAGAGCCCCGAGGCCAGCTTTGTTTGAACAGAGGTTTCCCATCCTTGCGAGCAGCCCACAGAATTGAGTTTACCTACTGCTCTTTGCTCGAAGGTTGGGGGAGCTCGCTACGCTAACTGGCAACTCCACCATCAGGCTACGCTGGCGGCAGTGGTTGTGTACCTACCTACTCTAGCCGACTAGCCGACTAGAGAGACGAAGGTTGCAACTGGAGCTACTCCAGGGGATAACTGAGTTTCCTGGGTTGCAGCAGCGAGCACTCTTTCTAGTGGGGATGCTGCAAGGTACGTCGAGCAGAGGGGACCAAGGCGTGCCATGGTATGCGCGGGCTATCGAGGGCAGTCTGTTCTTGCGTAGGCCGAGAGGAAACTGTGGTCGCACGAGGCCCGTCCAATATCAGAAGCGGGTACCCAGCCAGGTCTTCTCTCGGCGAGTCGTGAGAGGGGCACGAGGGCGGCAGCAAAGAAGCGAAGGTGTGCCGATGCGGCATGCAAGAACAGCGCGTTGTTGACGTGGTGTTTGGCAACATAGCGCTGCGCGAGTGAGGATGGTTCCATGGCAAAAAGGGGGGAGGTGGGAGGGGGGAGGGGGGAGGGTGCTTTCCGGAGGAGAGTGAAAGGGTTCGAAACGCCAGCGCCATGTTCTTCCACGTTGAAGACCCTCGGGCCATGCAGTCTGGCCGACTACAGCGCGGGCAGGACAGGCAGCGGCTGTTGTAGGTACTGTGTAGGTACAGTAGGTACAGACCGTGATGATGGGGGGGGGTGGATGAGAGGCTACTGTGTGCACGGTAGTAGTTTAGCACCATGGCAAAGCCTATCTACCGAGGGTGTTTTACGCCCACAATTAGTGGACCACGACAATGTTTGGTCTGGCAAACAAAGTATTCTCCGAGCGCATGGCCCAAGCTGCAGCAACTCCCACCGGTCTCCATGTGCACATCTTCCCGGGGACGGTTACTGTAACTGATGATGGCCGATTTGGGGGGGGGGGGGGGGGGATTGATTGTGCACCCGAGAAGGGTGATGCATCCGAGGATTGCGAGCCTGTGCTATGCTGCAGGTCTGCCGAGTGGGAGGGGTTGGCGTCAGCGCCTGTGATGGAAGAGTAGTCGACGCTAAAATCGGCAAAGTTTGTGAACTCGGGATGTGAGGGTGCAAAATCATGCGAGGCCTGTGCAGGTACAGAAAAGTCAAGATCGGCTGGGTAGGACTGCGAGATTCCTGTGGTGTCATAGGGAAACCCGTGGTTTTGGGGGTCCATGGGCATGCCCGTATTCTGCAGGTAAGCTCCGTTGGTGGCAGCCATGATGGAATGCATGACAGCGTTGGGGTGGTAGGCCGCAGACTGGTTGGCTTCTGGGATCGAGCGAAGGGCGTGCTGCATATCATACTGCTGCTGTTGCTGCAACGAAATTTGGGAGGTCAGCTCTAGTGCGGATGGACCCTGACCATTCTGGGCAGGGTGCATGGCAGTGCTCATATCCGTGTTCATAGGGTAAAAATCTTGATGAGGGTACATTTGGGCCTGCTGTGACTGTTGCTGTTGGGGTTGATGTTGATGCGGCTGCGGCTGCGGCTGCGGCTGCAGTTGCAGTAGCTGCTGCTGCTGCTCAAGCTGTGGCTCATAATGGCCAGCCATGACGGGCCCCCTAGGTTGCGGAAAGGACATATTCATGTTCATGGTAAAATGATTCATCATCTTCTTGCGCTCCTGCTTGACCTTGGCTGTGCGGTTCTGGAACCAATTCTACAGCCGCGTCAGCGTCATGGGACGCTGTGAACTGAAAGCCAGGTACCAGCCGAACATAGGAAGTAGCGCAGCCTTGAACGTCATCGTCGCCGCCGATTCACAATGATCTGGTCCAGAGAGACCAGGACAACGAGGGCAACAATGATATCCCGTA